GTAACTTTTTGAACTTTTAGAAGAACATTCTTTTAGCATTAAGAGCGGATTTAAAAAGTAACAGAAGAGAGGCCTTCAAAAATTTCACTGAACAGGATAGAGTAGCCCTATCTTATGAGTATTTACAAATAAATGCCTCTTATCTGTGCTGTAGACTTCGCAGCTATGTTTAAAGACATGTCCATAACAGCAGGAGATTTAGTCACAAAATCACACAAATCATGTAAAGTATTTTAATTTATGGAAAGCCCCTGACTTAACAACGCGTCCTGGTAAACCATCAAACAAAGCGTTTCAATGTTTCTCCGGGGTCCACAATCCACCTCCGCATTTTCTACCACGTTGATCACAAGATGGCGGCACATGCGAAGCGGGCGCTCTGCCAAGTCTCTCTTTTACTGTTCCTATTTTTGATATTTTGTCAATTCAAGTATGACATGGCTTTTTATAAAAGCTCAACCTATATGCTGGTGAGCGCTGGTTATGATGCTAAGTACTACCCGGGCCGTAATGATGGTTTGAGAAGATCGCGTTATGCTGCTTCGGATACCACTCTTCCCGCTCTAAAAGCCTACAGAATTCTTAACATTGCACAGTTTAGTCTGTTTGCTGCTGGTCTTATACTGTTAGCTGGAGACATCTGTCCTCAACCTGGTCCTTCTTTTCAACTAAAAAATTCTGGCTTATCGTTTGGTCCCCAAAGTAGAGGATTAGCAATGGCTCATCTTAATATTCGCAGTCTGCTACACAAGATGGATCAAGTGAACCTTATCATGGGCGGTACTAAGTCGTTTGACATATTATCATTCTCGGAGACTTGGCTTAATGATTCGGTTACTGACGACGAGATTCTTATGCCCGGCTATAGCTGTGTGAGGCGGGATCGCCAAGGAAAGGTTGGTGGAGGAGTGGCAATTTATTGCCGCGATTCTATCAATTTTACTATTCGCGAAGACCTAAATAATGCAAATGAAGCCGTGTGGATTCAAGTCAACCGAAAAAATTGTACACCTCTTGTTATTGGTTGTATCTATAGACCACCAGATCAACCGATCGACAACTTTACTGATAACTTCGGTAAATCATTGTCCAAGATCGACCCTGCGTTTGATAAAGTTGCGCTTGGTGATTTTAATATAGATTTTTCGATTAGAAGGAGAAATGCAAATTTGGCTCATAAACGATTGCTCAAGGGAATTGCTGAGCTACACGATCTCAAGCAAGTGATTGAATCTTCGACACGTGTCACGGAACACTCCGAATCTCTCATCGACTTATGCTTTACCAACGCTCAGCAAAAAATTACGGAGTCCGCTGTTTTAGATCCTGGTTTGAGCGATCATTCTTTGATTTACTGTGTCATGAAGAGCGGTCGTCACCGAGCTCCACCAAAAATGATCCAGTTTCGCTCGTATAAAAATTACGACAAAGATTCCTTTGTATCTGATCTCCGCCAAGTACCTTGGCATGTGGCTTTAAACAACCATGAAGATATTGATGACTGTATTGACACCTGGAACAAATTATTCTCAGAGGTTGCCGCAGTACATGCTCCAATAAAAACAAGCCGGGTTAGAGGCTTTTCTATTCCTTGGATAAACTCTAGCATTATAGCTCTAATGAATAAGCGAGATCACCATCTGAAAAAAGCCAAGGGGAATAAAAATAACACTCATTGGCGCCTGTACCGTGAATTGAGGAACAAGGTAACCCACAGTATCAAGAAAGCCAAATCTGATTATTACACTAACCTAATAATTAACGGCAGTAAATCAAGCTCTAAAGACTTCTGGAAAGCTTTAAAACAAACTCTACCTTCGTCTAAAACTTCCTCCAGGATTACCAGTTTGTTAGCTGATGGTGTCCTTCTCACCTCAGCTCAATCTATTGCCTCGACTCTTAATTCATATTTCGTGAACGTGGGTAAATCCCTTGCCGAAAAAATCGTTTCCGAACCGTACATAGCTAAAGCTACGGCCTGCCACTCGACTTTTACGTTTCAACCGATTAGTGAAGATTTTGTCTCAAGATCCATCAGTTCATTGAAAACCAATAAGGCCGTTGGTCTCGACAAAATTAGCGCGCGTCTTTTAAAAGATGCTGTGGACGTTATCACTCCTTCTCTTACGGCCTTATTCAATTTATCCCTTCAAACAAGAACATTTCCTTCGATATGGAAAACAGCAAAGGTTATACCCCTGTTTAAAAAGGGCGATAAATTGAATGCTTCTAATTACAGGCCAATTTCCATTCTCCCGACTGTAAGCAAGATTTTAGAGAAGGCGGTACATACTCAGTTTTATGCATATCTTACTGAGAATAATTTAATTTCACCCAACCAGTTTGGATTTAGATTGAAGTCATCTACTATTACTGCCACCATTCAGCTTTCTGATCAGATCCTTCACTCCATGGATAATGGTTGCCTGACCGGTGCGGTTTTTTTAGACCTCGCCAAAGCGTTTGACACTGTCAATCACTCAATACTGCTCCAGAAGCTCTCAACTTATGGTGTTGATGATGCTGGCAAAGCCTGGTTTACTTCATTCTTAACAAACAGAACACAAATGACTAGCTGTGATTATGCTTGCTCCAAAGCTGCCGCTGTATCGACTGGCGTTGCTCAAGGCTCTATATTGGGCCCACTTTTATTTATAATTTACATGAATGATCTACCTGATGTTTTGCAATCCTGTCAGGTTACTTTATATGCAGATGACACTGTTTTATACCTCGCTTCCAAATCTACTGTAGACTTACAAAGTAAGATTAACGATGACTTAAAACGTATATGTAGGTGGCTTCGGGCAAACCAACTGACTCTGAATGTTCAAAAATCCAAATTTTTGCTTATCGGTAGTAGTTCCCGCTTGAACAAAGTTGAGTCCATACTTATTTCGGCTGATGATACCCCTCTCGATAACGTAGATTCTTTTACTTACCTAGGCATTGTGATTAATAACCACTTCTCCTGGACTGACCACATTGATTATATTCGTAGTAAGGTCAGTAGAAAGTTAGGTCTTTTAAGGCGTATTAAATCTTGCCTCCCCCTCAACGCTAGAATTATGTTTTTCAATAGTTTCATTTTACCTATTTTTGACTATGGGGATATCATCTGGGGAGATCGCGGAAATGCGTCCTTAATGTCTGAGCTGCAAGTGTTGCAGAATAAGGCCGCTCGCCTCATTTTAGACTTACCTGTTTATTTTTCCGCAACTGAGGCCCTAAAGAGACTTGGCTGGAAACCATTACTGCGTCGTAGAAAAGAACACCATGCCATCTTTATGTACAAATTAATTAACAACCATTCATGTAATACTATTCCTGTCACATTTAATCGGGACTTTCATGGTTACAATACAAGATCGAGAAATGACGTTCGAAAATCCAGTGCCACAAGAAGATGGGGTCATTGGTCGTCAGTTAACTTTAGCGCAGATGTATGGAATGGTTTAGACATCTCACTAAGAAATGCAAACTCACTGCCTGCCTTCAAACGTGGCCTGTCTAAATTTAATTTTGAATTTTAATTTACCTTACTAGTATTACTCTTAGTTAATATTTTGTGATTAGTATTTTTAATTAGTTCTTAGATTTAGTTTTAGTTATTTGTTTTTTATTTGTAATTTATCTTTGTATTAGTATTTAATTTAAGAGGACCCTCCTGTAAACCACTTTTGTGACGCTGGCATCCTCATTAAAGATTATAGTATTTTGACCTATTAATGAACTTTGACCCCTTTTTCCTCTTATATGGACCGACGGTCGTCATATCTCGCTTCTTTCGTTTGGGGGTTTTTCCCAGGTCAGTTCGAGCTTGAACAATATTTCCAGGATGTATAGCCCTGTATTGGTGTCTATAGCCCTTTGTAACTATGTATAGCCCTGTTTAGGTATTTATAGTCATGTATAGCCCTGTATAAGTATGTATAGCTCTATTCATCTGTATATAGCTTTGTATTGCTGTGTAAACGTTCTGTACAGGTATAGCCCTGTATAGCTGTGTATAGCCCTGTATAGCTGTGTATATCTCTGTATAGTCGCGTATAGCCCTGTATAGGTGTGCATAGCCCTGTTTAGCTGCATATAGCTGTGTATAGCCCTGCATAGCAATGTATAGTCCTGTATAGGTGTGTATAGCTCTGTTTAGCTGTGTATAGCTCTGTTTAGCTTTGTATAGCCAGGTATGGCTATGTATTGCCCTGTATAGTTGTGTATAGCTCTGTGTATCTTTGTGTAGTTTGTATTGCTTTGTGTAGCCCTGTATAGCTGTGTATAGCCTTGTGTAGCTGTGTTTTGCTCTGTCTAGCTGTGAACTGCCATGTATAGCTGTGTGTATCTCTTTATGGCTGTGTATAGCTCTGTAAAGCTCTATATAGCCCTGTATAGCCGTTTATAACTGTGTATATCTCTGTATGGGTGCGTATAGCTGTGTATAGTTGCGTATAGCTGTGTATAGTTGTGCATAGCTCTGTATAGCTCTTTATAGCTGTGTATAGCCTTCTATAGCCCTGTATAGCTCTGTTTAGCTGTGTATAGTTTTGTATAGCTGTTTATAGCTCTGTATTGCGCCGTATAGCTGTGTATGGTTGTATCTAGTCTTCTTTTGCACTGAATGTGTGTGTAGGATATTATATAAAGAATAATACATGGGCACACGTAGATATGAAATTTCTCTTCGAGTGTTTAACTCGATAGCTCACGAGTGAGCGCAGCAAACGAGATGTCGAGTTGAACATAAGAAGAGAAATTCCATATCTACAAGCAACCATGTATTTTTTTGTTTATCATATAAACACAACAGCCCTTTACTGAGAAGAAAAGCCGACTTCATTAATGAATGAAAATAAATGAATCGACGATCCCCGAATCAAAATCGTAGAGTGCGTTGGCGCTAACCCTTAAGATGGAAAAACGCTTCGAATCATGATTACAAAAACCAAAAATGGTCGTAATTTTCAATTTACAAAATTTTCATTTATTGATATTGTTCTTACCGACAAAAGTCTTTCAGGTAAACGGCCAAAATCGGCCAGTGGCAAATCTTCCAGTTGTCGATTTTCATTCTCAGCCGAGAGAAATGCCAACACCAAGGCCACTGAATACGTAACTTTCGGTTTTTCTCTCAGAATATTGGTTTTCTTCCTCTTAAAGGAAAATTTGAACCTCACTGTCCGTCAGCGATACGGATTTCGAGTGTTTTAGCCGCCATAATTCGAGAAAGCTCCGACAAACATCTTGTGTTGAGAATCGTGAAGGCTTTGCCGTTCATTCATCAACCTGACCGTGTGACGCCAAAGGCGAGTGAAGTGTCAGCAGCTGATTGGCTATATCGACACACGTGAGAAAATACAATATTTTTTTCACGTGTATTGTTACGGCTTTTCTCAGGGCCGGAAATCGCTGTATAACACCGCAGTTTATGTGATAAATGTAAAATATAGGACATTATATGTATTTAATATGTATTGGGGACATAATAATTCTCCATACATGACTTACTTATATTAAACATTTCGTGCAGGAGGTTTCCATCGTTTTGTCTGGAACGGATCCGCCAGTCGGCTAATTATGGAATATTGTGCCCATAGACGAAACGTTTGGCTATGCACAGGCGGCCCAAGCTCCAGCTGTGAGACGATCATCTTACGCAATAACGGTCATGGCGGAATTATAAGAGTTTGTATAGGAATATTTACGAGCGCTCTAAGGAATAAAAAAATACGTCAAATTCTCAAAAAAAATACCTCACCTCGCTTCCACAGCGTATTGCTTGTTATCTGACCGCTTACTTTGATGAAAAGAGCCCATTTGAGCGAGTTGTTCATTTCGAGGTTTTCAACGAACATAAGAAAAGCCCAAGGCTGAACACTCCATTTCCGAACGCCTGATCCGAGAAGCGAAAAATCCAAGCTCAAAATGACCGGGCGGCCACAAATCTAACACAGAATCCAAGCACACATACTGTAGTTTCATTTCAATTCACTACAAACTCAATCTTCCCCGTGCAACCGACGCTAAGCCGCAGTTTGCTTCAAAAATTTCTAGTTTAGAGGTTTCTAACAGCCCGCGACCACATCAACCTTGACACACGACCGTTGAAACCCTACCTCCTTTTCAAACTGAGCCTCGCCGGGGACCACACCGTCAGTTATTATCAATAAATTGTTTTAGAACCACGGGTCCCCTCAGGTCGAAATCGATCGAGAGGCTATTGTTTTATCCTAAAGTAAAAGAAATAAGTATCTACAAGGGCACTTCGCAAGAAACACATAGACGAAGTGCGAAATTTAGCGTAGCCGGCAACTAAGAATAAAGTGAATACTTACATGGCTGAGCGACTTGTTCTATTGTGACTCACATTCTCGTGCGGACGAAGCGAAATAACTGTTGTCTTGTTGGCAGAATTAAAATAGGTATGTCCAGATAGAACGAAATTGAATACTGGTATAAATCCTTGCCAGGTTTTCCTCTGACTCCGAAAATAATCACACATTTGTAAACATTTCTGAAGGCGAATTCGATTGGCCCGATCGAAACAATAGCCTCTTGATCGATTTCGACCGGAGGGGACCCGTGGTTTTAAAACAATTTATTGATAATAACTGACGGTGTGGTCCCCGGCGAGGCTCAGTTTGAAAAGGAGGTAGGGTTTCAACAGTCGTGTGTCAAGGTTGATGTGGCCGCGGGCTGTTAGAAACCTCTAAACTGGAAATTTTTGAAGCAAACTGCGGCTTAGCGTCGGTTGCACGGGGAAGATTGAGTTTGTAGTGAATTGAAATGAAACTACAGTGTGTGTGCTTGGATTCTGCGTTAGATTTGTGGCCGCCCGGTCATTTTGAGCTTGGATTTTTCGCTTCTCGGATCAGGCGTTCGGAAATGGAGTGTTCAGCCTTGGGCTTTTCTTATGTACGTTGAAAACCTCGAAATGAACAACTCGCTCAAATGGGCTCTTTTCATCAAAGTAAGCGGTCAGATAACAAGCAATACGCTGTGGAAGCGAGGTGAGGTATTTTTTTTGAGAATTTGACGTATTTTTTTATTCCTTAGAGCGGTCGTAAATATTCCCATACAAACTCTTATAATTCCGCCATGACCGTTATTGCGTAAGATAATCATCTCACAGCTGGAGCTTGGGCCGCCTGTGGGCTATGTCGACGACGTGGATACGACATACCAAGTTCTATCTGAATTCGGAAAATGAAAACGACAAGATTTTGTTCGTTCTATTCCAAAGAAGTTGGAAAAATTCAAGGTCTAATTATTTGCGGAAAAGATCGAGTTGAAATCTAACACTTCGCCGCTTTGCATTGAACCGCACATAGAGCTCTCACGCATCGGGCGAGACTTACGCAAACGAATTCAATCGTACGCTCTCACGCTGTTTCTGATTTAAACTGTTGATTTTCAGAGAGGAAACTGCTACTCTAATTGAATAAATGAAGGTGATGCCATTAGCGTCGCAAGCGAGGCTATGCGGTCAAAAATGTCACCGTTGGGCAGCAAATCAACTCGGGGAATTGTCACACAACGAGCTTGATTAAAATATGCATTTGATGATATTTTAATAAACAGCTAGTGAGAAGTCTAAAAAACACAAATAGTGCACACTCCCACCAATGTAACAAACAAACGTCTAACGTCGCGCAGTCCACATAATTTTAAACCATATCGCCGTAAATTGATGCTACTCATCCATAAGGCAATGAGGGCCAAACAGGCTCTTTTGCCGTAAGTCTCGTTTGTTTTCTCCTGAGAAAATTTATGACGAAAAGCGAGAAAGCTTAAATCTTCCTGTTTGCTTTAATAGATAAATGGTTATGAGGCTGAACTCTTTCTCGAGTAACGGGCGATGGGTAAAGAACAACACCCTCTAGCTGATACCAACATATCGATATCGCAACTAGAGAAGGTACACAAAGATCGATTCTAAGATTTTAAGGGTTAATGTGGTATTCAGGTACATAAAATTCCACACTGCGGTGTCGTAATGATCCCGAATCCTTCAGTTTGCGTTGTTAGTGTTTTTTAAGCTCCGGTGTACGCTGAAACAAAATTATTGGTAATTATTTGCGTTACTGTGCAAGACCCTTGGCGCCCTTGGAGGTCTAATTTTGGCTTGCTTATGGGCAAAAATTATCATCTCGCACTTGCCTTCGCCCGGCTGGAAAAAGCAAAAAGAAAAATTGACATTTTTTCGCATGCTACTCTTAACGAAAAAGAATTTCTCTTCAATTTCACACACCTTTCTCCAATTCTTTATTACATCTCGTCAGGAAAAGGAAGGGAAAAAAAAAGGATGCATTTGTCATTAACCTCGCGATTTACTACACTTTCCTTTTTTTAAAGTAATCAGCCCTAAGTTTAACACGTTTAAACAAAGTTCACTCATGCAGTACTAGAAACACTCCCTCAGAGTCTCTCATGGGAAGTACCCTGCCCCCTGAGGGAACAGGGGCCCCTAAATCTTTTGCATCAGGGGTGTCTAAAAACCGTAAATAAGGATTCGGCATCAGATTGCACCCTCCTCCGTCTTGTGAATATCATGTGCTCTCGTTCATAATCTCCTGTTCTATGTAAGCCAGTTGCTTCGCACATTGATCCCATCGTTCTTTAATAGTCGCCACAATCTGGTCGTCAGTGTTTCTCAGGATACCTAACGAGATCCTCCTACAAAGAAGAACTTAAGTTGAGGAGGTACTTTGAGGAAAGATACTCAACGGCGCTTTCTAAATCCAACCTTTGAACCTTTTCATTCAAGGCAAAAGAACCTTGGTCCTACCTGGAGATACGACCGATATACTGTTACCTTCATTGACAGGAAACCTCTGTTCAGGGGATACTTTCTACATTCATCAGGGTGTCCCGTGATTAGAGGTCCCATTGTATCTGTTATCTTCATTGAAGGGACATCTCTATTCAGGGGACACTTTTCACATCAACGAGGGTGTCCCCTGATTGGAGGTCCCATTATATCTGTCACTATTATTCAAGGAACACCTCTATATAGGTGACACTCTTTCTAGTCCAAATCTCAGATATTCACAATGTAGTCAGTACTGCAAGCTAAATTGAACGAAGAATTACTTAAAAAGAATTCAGTCAAATTTCTGTAGTAAGTAGTGTGCTGTAACTCATCATGTAACATTGGTTGGAAATATTATTGGTTTCCTCAATTTTGTGCCGGGTTTGAAAATCAAATTGGAAAAAAATTGTTCCCATTTAACCTTTATGTCATCCAGAACGGCTAAAAAATTGTCCTCGCCAAACACGAAAACATTGCTGTCCCACAGAACGTTAAGTTAACACGGTACATGACTGACGGGTTAGGGGTTAAGTTACACGTACATGAAATGGAAAAAGAAAACAGAGAATTTGTATAAAATAAGAATTTTCACAAACAAATCATATCCTTCAACTGTGTTTCTGGCCATGGCTCTCAAATAATTTATATCATGCTGGTATCGAACCACTAAGGAAGACCCCTTGGGGTTTCCGATGCCTAAAATGAGAAAAATTTGTCAAAAAAGGTCCTCTGGTGAGTTATCACATAATTACTCAGGTGTTTTGAAAAACATTTCCCATGAGCAGCTGTCGATGATGTAACAGGCACTGCGTCCAGAAAAGGTCGAGGAAGAGGTTGTAAGGCTCCTTTTTCCTAAAAGGGGGGTTAGAACGTGTTCCCTACCCCCCCTCCCCCCCCCAAAATAGAAGATCAATAAATAATAATAGTAATTATCTAGAATCTTGGAAATGTAATTCCAAAATTCTGGGCATCAAAAAAGGGTGCCTGAAGGCTTAAAAGACGAAATTAAAAGGTCCTGTGGCCGCAGGAGACCAGCCACAATCCCCCCATTCAGTGAAACCCTTGCTCTTGCAGCGCATTCTGATTGAGTGTCGCAGAACCAGAAAATAATGTACAATGTAATTACAACAGCCAATCAGAAGAAAGGAAATATCTCAACGAGCCAATGACAATTCAAAGTAAAAACTAGCAAGCGGAGTGAAGCGTGGGAATAAAAAAGAGACAAAGCCACACTTGGTTTAAGTTTGCATCTGATCCGTTTAAAAAAATGGTGACTGTGTTTTAGACCAATTGCAATGCAAAGTAAAGCAAAACCACCACGTGAACATTTCAGCAATACTCACTGACAGTTCTTGCCGTGACTGGCTTTTTTTTAGAAACCTCAGTGTTTCAACAATCTTATCTTAAAATGGAACTAAGAATACGATAAGTGTTATCAACGTTTTATTACCTATAATTGGTGATCAATTTTTTTTCGTCACAAGTCCTCCCTCACATCCTTTCGGCACTGGGTGAATGCTTGTCAGAAAACCCACACGATTGAAAAAAAAAGTTTTCAAAATTTTGGACGATAAAAAAGGATAAGTTTGTCAACGTCTGAACTTAACAGCTGTTTTAACGAAACCTCACGCAAAAAAACAAAAGATCATGAGAACTATTTTACTGTATTTGATTTCACTCGGTTGGTTTTTCTTCATACATGATTTTTTATCAGTTTGTTTTGAGCACTCGACAATTTAGGTCATTGCAGTTATTTCAAGTTCAGAGCCACTTTTTTCCGGATGAAAAATAAACATAACTGGCATACGTTATGGTACAAATGTTACAAATAAATTATAACTTCTTACTAACCGAGCGAAATGACCTCACTGAGGAATGTTGGCCAGAGCTCGTGGCTTACAAAAACAACAGCGGGCCAATATTACCCAGTATGGCTCAAGCAAGCGGAGTTAGAATGTAGTTTATTATATGGCACTAGGACCATCCTGTTTCTTGTTTTTGTTTTTTTAATTAGCCGGTTTTCGCGACCAAAAGTACGCGGCTTATGACCGTTTCCGGGGAAAAGGTCTGTATGGAAAAATAGGGACCAAGAAAGAACCAATCAGGACGCCTAGATTTACCTGAGGACTACCTTATCGCATAATAATTGTTTTTATTTATCAACTTTTAATTTATCGACGTTTCTCAAATTAAATTTCATCAAGTACGACCGGCCTAATAGAGGAAATGAAAATTAAATGGTTTCTGGAGCACACTTCTCCTTCAAATCAATCATTTTCTGAGCTTGACAACTATAATAGCAACAAGCTCTATTTTTAATGCATTGGAAGTCAGTTTTGGATCACTTTGTAAGTGATCAAGTAACAATCCCTGAAGCGTTCTTCATGTGGGTCGGTGTACAGCTCTCGCAGTTCCCTGTTCACAAGTCTCCATTTTCCCGCCTTCTCCAACTCATCAAACTTGGTACAGTAACCATACTTTGGGTCGAAAGAGTCTGCTCGGAGAGTGAAGATGAACAGACCACCTTGAATGTGAAAAAAAAAGTAACTGAGATGTTGTGTGACTGTGTTACCGCGAGAAAACGTCACGCCAATACACTTTTTAGGGTATTTATAATAACAAAACAGACTGTACTGCACTGACCTGGTCTTACATGACGTATACACTCATCTAGTGCCACAGGCTTGGCTTGACCATAAACAATGGTGCCTCCGCACAATGTCACATCATATTCAGCGGTCTGTATCTGCTCTATGCGAACATCACTCAAAGGTGCACAGATGAGTCGCTTGTAAACATTCTTCTTTTTAGCTTCGTTTAACATATTCTGCGAAATATCTAGGGCATCAATATTTGTATAGCCTTGTTTAACCAGCATCTCACCAATCATACCTGTACCAGCTCCAGCATCAAGGATCTTCATGTTCTTGTCTGCACCAGGGAAGATCTCTTCAGACTGTATGGCTTTGTTGAAAGCTTCCACGCACAATTGTGGTGCTTTATAGCCATGATTTTCAACTAAATCCTGGATAAAATCAATGCATAAAAAAAGATATAAGAAACACTCATATCATCATCTTTTTGTATGAGGAAACATGCTTCGAGACACATGCACCCTGGTATTGGAGCATTCTATTATTTTCCTAATCCCACGCTCGTTCATACCTGAACTGAGAGACGACATCGACCCTCACTAAACCTTTAACCCCTAAGAGTGACTGGCATCTAATTTCTCCTTACAATATCACCCCTATATCAAACATAAAGGTCATAAGAATAAGCGAAATGATCAACAACCAAAGAACTCTTGATTGTTAAACAAATTCTCCTTTTCAGCACCTTGAGAAATGTATAGAGAACAGTATGGAGAATATGCATACTGATGTTTAGGGTCAACGTTTCTTCGCCCACGGAAAAGAATGAAGCCTTGAGCTATGCAAGCCGGCGAGAACTGAGTCTGCAAGAGGTTTAGCACTCTAACTCTAAAGCGCGTCCTGCACCGCTAATGACGAGGGTCTCCTCGCACGCTGTTTTTGCAGCAATTTCCCAACTAACCACTTCATAATTTTCTGCCCAAGAATCATAAAGTTTTTTCGCTTCCTCTTCGGTGGATGATGGATTCAGTTCAACGATTCCTCTGTTTGTAACGGGTTTCATTATGAGGGATTAGCTTATAATCAGCACCTAAAAAAAGGTAGAAATAATAAAATGTGAGAGCCTCAAGATCTGATTGTTAATTCTCCCCTCTAGCTGCGACACATTTCCCTGTAAACTAATCACTATTAATCACAAAGGAATAAATCATGATTGTAATGATATTTACAGGGAGATGGAGAATAAAAATTACAACACGTACAAAAAAGAAAATGGTCAAACATAAGACTGACCGACCTACAATGACTTAATTTTCCCGTGAAACGCTTAAATAATCCGAAACTTTCACGCTGCCAGGCGAACCTCTTCAACGTGCCATCATAATGTTAGTTAACAAACTCAATGTCGATTCCAGGTACCCTCTTTATTTGCCAAAGCGTATGGCCTAGCAATGATGTCATTTCTCTTCGCCCTTCTGCGGGCTCTAAGGTTCGCCAGTCCCCCTTTCTATTAAATTTGGCTCCTGCACTAGGAAAGAGTTCTCTCTTGTCAAATGAAATAATTATTTTTCCCGTTTAATTTCCCTTATCATCCGCTGGCGGCTCACAAGAGTGTGCCTGATGCTAACGTAATTCCACGGGAAGGCGTGAAATATTTTTTAAAGGGGCCATGTCACGTTCTGAGTTGGTGCATTGGGTTCTTCCAGTTTATTTCATATATGAGTCAAATTGTCACCGTATTTGACAAGAAGTAGAGCGTGACGCCTAAAGCCGACAGTCACAAGTTGTTTTGGTCACGCACTGCACTGAAGACAGGTTATAACAACTCCGGGCGTTTCCTGTTAGTTTCAATTATAGTAAGGACCTATCTCTCTCGAAAAAGTTAAAAAATAAGAAAAAATTGACCAGAACGTTATCGTTTTTCTGTCTAGAGCACGAGGCAATGGTAAAAGTTAACTCTTGCGTGCGCGGTATGAGAAAATAACCAGAAGAATAAAATACAATCTAAGTCTTTGTTCTACAGGTACTGAAATGTCTGCCAGAGGGCAAACGTATAAATTAATTTTGATGCGTAATTTTACCTTCATCTCTAACTCTAAAATCAAACATAGCTGGCTGGAGAAACAATCGCGAGCTTGCAAAGTTTACTCGCTCTAATGAGAAGCCTGTATTGCGGGCATCTTTTGTTCCTTGTACCTTAGTGTTACGCCATTGCGCAACAGCGGTGTATGGCAGCGAACTACAATTCTCGTTTCTAGAATATTCCTGAATAGTAGCTACATGGTGCTACATGTCGACTTGTTTTTTCGCCGACTATATTCTGTAATACATACTGGCTACAGCAGCAGTAGCGCTTGATGCTTGCTGTAATTTGCGAGGTCAAATCTGTAAGTTCAATCTGTAACTAGAACCAAAACGCTGTAGTGTGCAAATCGGAAATGAATAATTTACGAAATGGAAATATATCAGGTTGCCTCAGCAAAAGCAAAAGTAAAAAAAAAATAGTTTACCCGTCTTATTTCCAAACTGGTCCAACGAAAGGCCACTATCTTTGTTAACCACGCAACCCAACACTTTTCCGAAATACGCTAAGGTATCGTCTCGTGACTATAGGTCGAGACCGAAAGAAGGACGTGACGTATGACGTCATTAAATATTCAAAACAAGGACTTCGGGCGAAGGTTCGGAAAGTATTCGAAAGTTGCGGCCGAAAGTTACCGCAGTCGATTTCCTGTTTCCTAAAAACATAAGCTAAGTTCAATGAACGTATAGTTTTAACTTGTATAAGCTTTCGGACCCTATTCGATTGTATAAAGCATTTGATTTCGGCTTCTTCTACTTAAAGATCGCTTCTGAGAGGGTTAATCACACCGCGGTGTTGCAGTGATCTCGAATCCTTCAGTTTACGTTGTTAGTGTCTTTTAAGCTGCGGTGTACGCCATAACAAAATTATTGGTTATTATTTGCGTTACTGGACAATACCCTTAGCACCCTGAGTGGTCTAATTTTGGCTTGCTTATGGGCGAAAATTATCATCTCGCACTTACCTTCGCCCGCCTAGAAAAAGCAAAGAAAAGTGACGTTTTTTCGCACGCTACTCTTAACGAAAAAATAGTTCTCTTCAATTTCACACACCTTTCTCCAGTTCCCTATTATATTTCGTCAGGAAAGGGAAGAAAAAAAATAGGACGCATTTGTCATTAACCTCGCGGTTTACTACACTTTCTCTTTTTAACAAGCAATCAGTCCTAAGTTTAACACCTTAAAACAAAGCTCACTCATGCAGTACTGGACTGAAACTGTCCGCCTATTGGGCAGCACTCTCTCAAAGTCTATTGTAAGAAGTACCCTGCCTCCGAGGGAACAGGGGCCTCTTTTGCATCGGGGGTGTCTAAAAACCGTAAATAAGGATTCGGCATCAGATTGCACCCTCCTCTGTCTTGTGAAGATCATGAGCCCTTGTTCATAATCTCCTGTTCTATGTCAGCCAGTTGCTTCACACATTGATCTCGTCGTTCTTTAATAGTCGCCACTATCTGGTCGTGTTTCTCAGGATACCTAACAAGATCCTCCTGCAAAGAAGAACTTAAGTTGAGGAGCTACTTTGAGGAAAGGTACTTAACGGCGCTTTCTAAATCCAACCTTCGTACAATGGGACCTTTTCATTCAAGGCAAATAAACTTTGGTCCTAACTGGAGATATGGCCGATATACTGTTACCTTCATCGACAGGAAACCTCTGTTCAGGGGATACTTTTTACATTCAACAGTGGAAATTTAACTTACTGGTGCAAATTTACCTACCCACTTCCCCAATGTAGCTTAATTGTTATGCCTATGAGATAGATTTTTTCCTACCTGAAAACTGGCAGCTACTGGGGTAAGACTCCGCGCCTCCTGGGAACTGTGAAGACGAGGGAGAACAAACTAGATCTTAGATATACACAATGTGGTCAGTACTGCAGTGTGCTGTTACTCATCAAGTAACATCGGTTGAAAACATTATCGGTTTCCTTAATTTTGTGCTGCGTGAAAATAAATTGGAAGAAAGTTGTTCCCAGAAAACGTTTAAATCATCCACAACTGCTAAAAAAGTGTCCCTGTCAAACACGAAAAAAAAAAAAACGCTATCCCACAAAACGCTAAGTTAACACGGTACATGACTGAAGGGTTAGGAGTTTAAAATTCAATTTTTTTAAATTACATTTACATGAATGTCATTTATATTTTGCAAGTGGTAATCAATGTCATTGAATGTTGAAATAGAAAAAAAAAACCCGAGAATTTGTATGATATGATAATTTTCACTCACAAATCATATCCTTCAACTGTGTTTCTGGCCATGTCTCTCAAGTAATTTATATCATGCTGGTATCGCACTACTATAGAAGAGCCCTTGGGGTTTCCGATGCCTAAAATGAAAAACAATATTAAAATTAATGATAAAAATAATTTTTTGTCAACAAGTTTCTTTTGGTTAAATATCAACTTATTACTCTGGGGTTTTAATAACATTTTCAATACGCGGCTGCCGACAGTGTAACAGAAAAGGTTGAGGAAGAGGATGTAAGGCTCCTTTTCCGAAAGGGGGGGGGGGAAATGGTTCATAAACCCCCCCCCCCCCCCAAAAAAAAAGGAATATATATATATATATAGTCAGGGAAATGCAATTTCCAGTATTCTGGGCATCAAAAAGAGCGCTTGAACGCTTAACAGACGGAGTTCCAGGTCTCCTGGCTACAGGAAACCACCCGCAATCCCCCTCTCCCCCATTATTGAAACCCCTACCATTACAGCACATTTCAATTGAGCCAATCAGTAGAAAGTAAATATCTCAACGAGCCAATGAGAATTCGAAGTAGAAACTAGCAAACTGTGTGAATAAAAAGAGATAAAGCCACACTTGGTTTAAGTTTGCATCTGATCGGTAAAAAAAAAAATTTGGTGCTTGTTTTTGGACCAATTGCATTGCAAAATAGGGCAAAACCACCATGCCCTACACTCCCTGCTCCTCCACTGTTAATAGTTACCTTGTAACAGCCTTTCAAGATCTTCAATCTCTTGTCTAATAATATCTGCTCTCTGCATTCCCTCAAAAATGCTAAAAACATAATTGAAAGAAGCTTAAAGTGAGAATAAAATAGAGGCAAAAACATCTGTAAATTTCATCTTGGTATGAAATCTCCAGTGTATTCCAAAAATTGGTTACACACATTATTATTTATTCTTCAACTTCCATGAATAATGAAGACAGAATTTCTCCTTACAATATCAATATGATACCAAGTAGACAAATGATGAGAATAAAGAAAAATATCAATTGGGAGATTAGTTGATTTGATAGCAAATTCTCAGAACTAACATCACAAGAATTGTATGGCAGATGATGAGGGCAGATGATGAGAAGAATCTCTGATGAGATCTTGGAGTTGAAGGGTTCATGTGAAAAACTATGTTCTTCATCCATGTACTTACTCATGTGTAGAGGGACTTGGATCTGTTCTCACAATGTTACTTCTTAAAAAATAACAATAAATATCATGTTATTATAGTTTACAGTGCTTTAGTGATACAGAATTCTCAACTCACCAGTAATTGCTTATTTACAGTCTGTAAGTCTGAACTTTTAAGTATTTGTTTCTTCAGGTGACTTGACTTTTTATTTTGGGTGACAAGACTAAAACTTTGGGCAACATGACTATAAATTTTGGATGACATGACTAAAATTTTGGACGACATGACTAAAATTTTGGGCGACATGACCAAAATTTTGGGCTAAATGACCAAAATTTTGGGCAAAATGACAAAAATTTTGGGCAACATGACTCAACCTCTGGATGACATGACTTCCAGGTGACTTGACCAATTTATACAGACAACACTCCTAGCTGCTTCATGTAATTCAAACCAGGGTAAGCTCCAACTGGATGAGCCATTTGGCTTGAGCGCAAACTTTACCATAGAGCAGGCTAAAATCTATTTTATCAGTCCAGTAGAAAGAACTTCAATTGAAAACATTTCTAATCCTAAATATGCTTAACTATCATTTGTTAAATTCGTTCTATCAATATATTACAAAACAGTTCACCTGTGTTTGCATCTTCTCTCCTCCTCCTTGGAAAAAAAATTAACGAATGAAAAACTGGTTTGCAAGTCTTGATTGTCAACAATTTCTCCTTGTATCCACTTTAGGAAATGTATAGAGAACAGTGTGGAGAATATACATAACGATGTTAAAGTGTACAGGGATATTAAAAACACTTTACAAATATTGAATGATACAAATGTTCTCTGTAGCTCAGGGGTCGAGTATCTCACCAGTAGTCAAAAGATAAGGCATGAAATCAGAAGTTGGAAAAAAAAAATTATTATTTTCTGTATGACAAAGTTGTGTCATAAAATATTCTTAATCATACCTCAACAAATAACTGCAGTCTTGGTTTTGGGGGCTTAAATTTCTGTAAACAAATAAAAGATTTAAGGAAGCATTGACAGGATATTCATGGCTGCCAGCACCTAAAGTACAAATGACTCACTCACTGCATTACTAAAACTAAGTGAACCAGACAGAACATTATAACATAGCTAGTAAGTTTTTCTAATCAAATTCAATTGCTCGAGTGTGCATTATATTCCTATTGTGCACACTCATGACATCAGCAAACAAATCACTTGAGAAAAAAATTTTATAAAAATATTGAAAATGTTATAAAACAATTGGTTCATGTGTCAGCTGTGTGTTCATCGATATATAAAGCACACGGGAAGTTTGGAGAGCACAAAAGATGTGTAAGAGTTGCTCGAGGCGTAGCCAAGAGCAACTCTAGCTTCTTGATGCATCTTTCTCTTCTCTTTCGCATCTTTCATGCTCTCCAAACTTCCCATGTGCTTCATATCTCGATGAACGCAGGCTGACATATGAACCAATTGTTCAATGAAACATAATTTACTAATGGAATGACACTCACCAATCACAACTGTCTCACACTGAGTCAGTCTTACAGCCAAAAAAATTAGAGCAAAATTGACCAATCACTTTTCATGTACCCTGGTTTCTGGGTCATAAAATGATGAGGAGTATTCCTCCCCTCCCTAGATGGGATGACAATCCATCCCAAGCATCCCCTCTCTACCAAGCATGTGGTCTGGTTCCTGACAGTTCACTAGTACCCATATATTCCTGGGTGAAGAGAGGCACTGTGAAAGTGAAGTGATTTGCCCAAGAACATAACATATTGACTCAGCCAGGTGACTCAAGGCTGCACTTCTTTAAACAGAGTATAGCATGCCAACCTTTGGGTCACCATGTCTCCTTCAATATCAACGCCACATACATGTACCATACCTTAACTTGTGGTTCTGGAGTAAAAATCAACACATCATCAGGCTGCTGAGCAGGTGGAACAACAGGTAACGTGTCCCACACACACTGCTCTGACTGCATGCATGGCAGGAATACAAAGCTGTGTTTGGGTGTAAGTTGTGTTGGCCTGTCAACAGAACAGGACAAGCTAGGTTAGCACTTTTTTTCACAAAGAAACTCTAATTTTGAGCTTAGTAGTCAACTAAACCCTTTACACCCAAAGATCAGTGTGTACATTCTCTACAATTTCCTCTATACATTTCCTAAGGCGCTGACAAGGAGAATTTGTATAACAATCAGTAGATTCTTTGGTTAATGATAATTTCCTTTATTCTCATGACCTCAATTTGTGATTAAAGTGTGATATTGTAAGGAGAAATTAGATGCTAATCTTATAGATCAAAGGGTAAAATATGTAGAGAGTAATGGGTTGGAAGACTGAATCATCAATCGGGAAAAATATCACTGCCTACAGTGTCTCTTCTGAATGAAACACTAAGGTCATGAGAATGAAGGAAATGATCACCAACTAAAAAAAAGCTCTTAACAAATTCTCCTGTCAGTGCCATGAAAAATTTACAGAGAACAGTTTGGAAAATATGCATCCTAATGCTGGGCTACAAATGGTTAAGATGGAAATCACTGAAAAAGTGTTACTTAAAAAACTTAGCCTTTAAAAAGATCCTAGCTATGTGCAAACTGCATGTCTCGAGTTATTGGTATTGTTAATAGGATGTGGTTTGTGTTCAGTTCAAAATCATTACAAGGCATTCAAAAAGTTTTTGAAACCAGTTTAAATTTTACTTTTGTTTGTTCAAGATCTTCTCTCTTCTTTAAGAACTGAAACAAAGGGGAAAATTAATTGGATCAAAACTTTTAAACCAAGAATTTGAGCCTCGAATTGAACACATTGTACACGTGTCTGGTATTGACAACAAAAGCTTGGAATGTTCAATCAAAGGAAACCACACATCAAAAAATAATATGAGTACTCACCAGTTATTTGGCACATCTTCTGTCAGCCACTCCTGTAGAATTGTAAGATTCTTGGGCAAACACCTGTTCACATTAATTGGGACAAAACAAAGTTACTGTCAGTAATAATTCTGGTCTTGACTCTTTGGCCCCTAAGAGTGTTAGCATCTAATTTCTCCTCACAATATTTTCCCTGAGCCAAACTTTAAGGACACAAGAATAGAGGAAATGATCATTAACCAAAGCACCTCTTGATTATTGAACAAATTCTCCTTGTCAGCACCTTAGGAAATGTATAATGAACAGTATGGAGAATATGCCCTCTGATGAAATTAGAAGATCCTCGCAGCTAAGAACACTACTGAAACTAGTAGTTGTAAATAGGACCTGAAAAAAATTCAGGCCCATGCAGGATTTGAACCCATGACCTCTGCGATACCGGTGCAGCGCTCTACCAATTGAGCTAACAAGCCAACTGGGAGCTGGTCAATGAATTGGGTACAAATAAACATCCAAGTGAATGAAGAATTTAGATATATGAAATGTGAAATATAGATATATATTTAGATATATGAAATATGTGAATTTTCATATATCTAAATTCTTCATGCCCTCTGATGTTAGGGAAAAAAGGGATTGAGGTAAATCTACAGTTTATGAGGTGTTTGGCTAAAACAAACATAGAATTCTCTTAACACGTGAAAATCTAACCTGTCTTTGTACACTGAGGGAACAGGAGTAGAATCTTGGCTGAGTTCCTCTTTCATTGTAACTGTGCTACTGTCACATTCTTTGTTCATTAAAGGAGCTGGTCTGTTCAGTGCAGCATGTCCAGAAAATGGTCTCCACGGAGGTCGTGATCTGTGCCCTACATTTGTCTTTTCACCAACCCTTTCTGTAGTTATTCTAGCCTTGGCACTGAATGGACGAGGCTTCATTCCAGCATGAGGTGGCGGCCCTCTAGAGCTGGTAGTGAGCACACCATGTTGGGCTGCAGTAGGCGGTCTTTGGATGCTCACTTGAATAATCAATAATGGTGATAAGACTGATTGGAGTCCAGTTCAGTCAGTAATGATATGAGTCATTAACAAAATTAGACAATGGTTTAGGGGGAGTCTGATTGAGTATGATTACAGACAGAATTGGAATCCATTTAGTTCTGCTACCAACTAATCAAAACTACAGCAAAATTTGAGAAAGAAACTACTGTAGACATCGGTTACATGTTTTCATAAAAAGAAATGTTAATTTAGTGAAAATGCATGACAACAGCATACACACATGAAGCATACTGTCCTTTTACACAGGCATAACATGATAATTGTCAAATTACACCATCCAATTACAAGCATAATGCATACACTGTCCTATTGCTGCTCAAACTGGGCTGGTGATAAACAATCACATTCAAGACTTCTGTTATAGTTTTGATTAAACAACAGAAGAAAAAAAAAGCAAAATCTCGTATCAGTTTCCATTAGGAGGACACTCCATTTCTTAACCTTTAAGCTCTCAATAGTGACTGGCCTCTAATTTCTCCTTACAGTATCACCCTTGAATCAAATGTAAAGGTCATGAGAATAAAGGAGATGATCACCAATTTAACCCTTTCACTCCCAAGATCTGATTAGTAATTCTCCTTACTATCTGCCATACAATTCTTATGATGTTAGTTGAGAGAATTTGGTATTGGATCAACTAATAATCCCATCATTGATATTCTTCTCTATTCTCATCACCTGCCTGCTTGATATTGTATTGATATTGTAAGGAGAAATTCTGTCTTGGTCACTTGAAGGAGTGAAAGGGTTAAGAAGTACCCAATTGTCAAACAAATTCTCCTTTCCAGTAACAGGGGAAAGGTATAGAGAACAGGATGGAGAATATGAACACCAATGTTAGGGTGTAAAGGGTTAACTGACCCTGGTAAGATTTCTACGCAGCCCCTTGCTCCATTATGCATACAGTTCTTAATTAATGGACAAAACAATAGTGCATCTACAGGACTATAGCTTTGTTCTTAGTTTATTTTCTGTTTTTTCTCCTTTAAAATTTTATCCACAAGTTCAAAATTATGACCACCTCTTCAAAAATATTTCCACAGGTCCTTTGGTCTCCACAGGAGTGCCATTGAGGGAGGGAGGTTGGAAAATAGTAAATAGGGTATGTCCCAATGAGAAATTAAAAGCATAATATTGACATTCCAATCCTACCTCATGTAACAAAAAATTATTTAGATCAAAGACAGCATTTACATGTCATAAATAACATCGTTTAAACAAGGAAATTCCAAGAAACAAATTGAGCCCCTCTCTTCATGTTGGTCATGTTGTCTGTTCAGTTTTTAGTACATCACAGATAACAACAAGATGAAGTAAGAACACAAAAGTGGAAACAAAGGGCACAGCCAAGTGTGTGACTATTATTCTAACCACATTTTAAATTCTTCTGTAATTTATTACAGTAACTGCACGGACCCACGGCAACATGGAATCTATTGGTATTTTTTTAAAGGAGCAAAGAAATGTTGAAGTCATCGGTGCGTCCGTCCTCCACCAGACCATGACATGATGAGCTGAATTACGCCCGCAAAAACTTGCGGGCGTAATTCAGCTTATCATGTAAAATACTATTATCTACATAGACAGTAAGTTGTCCGAATACGATACCTTTCGAGTTGTATAGACCTCTAGCGATCTCGAAAGCTTCGGAATCCATATTTCAATTGCTACATTGTGGCTTTGACCAATTCATAGCCAAAGCGTCTACATTGCCTCCAGCTTTCTCTTCCAACCACCAACCCCTACTCATTCGAAGAACATCAAACATCAAGCGTTCGCCATGTTGAATTTCAGCGATTTGAAAAGCCCTGGGGACTAGTTGCTTCAGTTGGTTGTGGGTGTAAGCTCTCTCTAAGTGAATCGCTGAGAACCCTTTGATAGCTGGAGATACACTCGCTTCTTCTTTGTTTTGTCTAGAAATCGTCTTCTACTACAAACCCCTTTACCACGGTAGTTTAGAGCTAAAAAATTCATTTATCAGAGAATTGGAGTAAAGTATGCATTATAACCAGTGAGAAAGCCCTCAATATTTGAGCTTTCGCAGACACAGCATTACAGCTTTTTTTTTAGAAATTTACCCAATTAATTCGCCTAACTAAGCAGGTTGGCTGTACACTGTTACTTCCTAGAATACTGGAGTGCAGAGGGAAAGTTCGGAATTGATCTCTAGATTCGCCTAATTGTTTCCTTTTTGTAGAACAATCAACTTTAATGAATCGGAAAATGGGTCATTTAAAAGTTTACCAAAACTTATTGATGGAAAGAAACAGCTGTCTTACCGGCGAGGTGTAAAAAGTCTTAACAACAATGGTTGCAACCCTCTCAGTTTCATGTTGCCTTTCCCTATTGTTTTGTACCAATCTTTTTATTCTATACATCTATCTTAAAAATATTGTGCACGCCAAAACAAGTGCGAACACTATCTTTTCAATTTACCGGTCCCTTTCAGAGCCTTTCTGACAAATTCTCATTCCAGTCGTTTGTAAAGTAAGCTTTTCCCTTGTATCAAATATGCTCCCTGCCTCACTAATTTGCTATTGTCTCAATTTTCCAAGTTCTTGATTTAGTTTTCCGTACTTTCACTTAAAATATTGCTAATGTTCAACCATGTACGCGGGTCGCTAAGTTATTTGCATCTTGCTAATATACTGTTTCCTAGTCAACTTGTTTCATGTTAAACTTTTCTCTTCTTATTTACAGTTTATTAACACTAGCTCACGCTAGTTTAAATCCACGAAAAAAAAATTTGAAGCGCCAAGGACTTTAATTTAAAAACTTATCCAACCTTCGACGAATTAAAATATAAATGTACTAACTAGTGACCTGTTAAGTTCGGTATGAGGCCAGATTGTGTGACCGGCCAGCTATTGGCTGTAAAAACAGCTGTAGTTATCAAGATTTTAATCATAACATCGTACAAAAAAAGGCAGTCTGAGGGATTACGTGTAAATTTAAATAACAACAACAACAATAACTCAAAAAACAGGCTTATGAATAATGGACATCATTATCACGAAATTTATCTTCGTGTTACAGATATAAAGATTTTGGTATTCTTTCGCGGTGACGAACACATATACATCGTCGGTGGCTAAATTTCCGCTGTACTTCCACAATTAACAGAGAAGATGGGAAACAATACTACCACAGATTACCTTTACGAAAATGAGTATAAACGCCCTGATACGATTGTCATCATTAACTGCGTTCTAAATGTTCCACTCATCTTTGTATCCATACTTGGTAACTTACTGGTATTGGTCGCCATAGTTAAGTCACCTTCCCTTCGATCACCATCCATAGTGTTCCTCTGCAACTTGGCTGTGTCTGATCTTCTGGTTGGATTTGTAGCACAACCACTCTATATCTCTTATGAGCTAACAAAAGCTAGCTTCGTGTACAAACCATATACGACCATGGCTCTGACAGCAGGTGGCGTTTCTATCTCAACCATGACTGCCATAAGCCTGGACCGATTCCTCGCTCTCCTCTATCACATGAGATATCCGTTGTTGATGACCCTGCATCGGGCCATCCTCATCGCAATCAGCCTTTGGTTGTTCAATGGCCTGGTGTCTCTGTTAGGTCTATGGAACATGACCGCTTATTATTTTGCTATAGCAGTTAGCATTCCTATCTACCTATTATTTTCCATTGTTTCTTACATGGGGATTTACCTCATCATTTGTCGCCACCGGTTAAAAATTCGCGCTCAAAGAAATGCCGTAGCGAATTCCACACAAGATTACCAAAGGAAACACAACATGGAACGAAAATCGAAAAGCGCCAAAAATACTTTTATGTATTTTGTTGTGATGGTCGTCTGTTATCTACCGCTCTTTACTGCCATGATCATTTTGACCTTTTACACAAGCCTCTGGACAATTGCTTGGAACTTAACTGATACGATAGCATTTGCGAACTCAGCCATAAACCCTTTTTTATACTGTTGGCGTGTCCGAGAGCTTCGAACGGCAGTTATAAAGGTAGCGAAGAGGATTCTATGTCGACAGACTGAGGATAATTAATCTGTTACAACAGAGGACAGTTTCCTTAAGCCTTAACACGTTTTAAGAAACGTAATTTGCACCATAAATTTTACCACTGGCCGACTGCCAATAGAATAAATTGTAACCTTACGCTTTAGTGACTTCAAAACTTGTTAAACAGACAGCGGAAAGTATGGATGGGTATAACTGGGGAAGATAAAAACGCACTGAATTCGGGAAAATTTAGATTTGCATTTACAAGTCGAGCTTCAATTGTTGGTCGCGAAAGCGAACGTACATCATGTGAGCGAAAACCTTCAGAGTTTTTAAGTCATCCCAAGTGCAACAAGGACAAGTTGTACAATCGCGAAGGACTAATCAGAACAACTGTAGGGTAGAGAAAGATGTTTTTTCGTCTTGTCAAGAGCGCGGGACGAAGAAACAATTCTGAGTCCCCATGAGGAATCGAACCTCAGATCTTCGGATTCCGCGCTCCGATGCTCTACCACTGAGCTACAAAGACTCCACGTTGAGCGAGGTCTATTACGAAGTTCATATGACACGCGTCCTGCATACTGCTAGGATCAGAAATGTCGATAGCGTAATGTTTACAGATAGAAATAAGAGAGATGGTAAGTTTTAAGCTCGGTAAAGAAATAGAGAAAGATGTTTTTTAGGGTACTCTAACAAAACGTGTACCAATTTCTTACAATCAATCTTACACATGACAATTAAAATATGACTGAAAGAAAATTACAGAGAGATTTCATTCAAAAGGAATCTTGTGAAACTTTTTTTTATTTTATTTACAAACTGAATGCGTTATGCAAGTCTAATATTTGCAATATCCCTACGTGAATCCCGTATCGAGAAACACTGAGGGGTCCTCACAGTGTTTTTGCTCCTAAAGTCTTTTGGTTTTCTTCATCACATTTTGGTCAATAAACGACGTTGTTGTTCTTCTTTTTCTCTGTTTGGAGAACCAGAGATGCAACAAATTAAATTGAACTCATTAAGAATTTCTTATTTCAGCTACAAGTAAGTTCGATGGAGCACTTGCTATTTCTTTCTACTCCAGCATCGGACAAGGGTCCCGTTTCTCGAAATTACCGGTAACCTAACGGGCCCAAAGCCATATTTTCAATCAAAATTTAAAGAATTGAGAAGCAAGTTTTGATACCCTAATGTCGCACGAGACCAGAATCGTGTCGTCCGAAACCAGAGTCATGTCGCCCAAAACCAGACTCATGTCACATGAAACCAGAATTAAGATCAGATCGTACAATGTAAATTGGTAATGAAGAAGAGAGATCTTTATCACTCAAGCGTTGTTCGTTGCCGACAAAACCATAAAGACTTTGATTGCACAGAAAACGATCACATGGTCGGAACTACAATATTTATGAGCGACGACTCCAGAAGCGTTGCTAATTCGAACAACAAAGTGAAGCATTTTGGTTTGGTATGCCATCATTTCGCACACACCTACGGAAATACATCAATAGGGTTCTTCGATCGATCAGTACCTTCAGCGCTTAGTAATAATTTGCCTTTTATGTTTTACATGTAATATAAAAAAATCGGGTGACATGATTCTGGTTTCGGGCGACATGACTTTAGGCAAGATGACTTTAGGGTGACTTGACCTTAACCAGTGTGACGTGTCTGTTTGACGTTGTTTATAGTGAGGGAGAGTTTAAGTCGGATCACGAAATGAAACGCTACCCGACCCAGCCCTCTCTCGCTTTTTCACTTCGCCGCTTCAATCGTGCCGTTTGCTATTTCGTTCCGTTTTACTAACTGACCGCCTGGATCAGGCTAAGAATCCATCAGTTCTTTCACAATTGGAGCCAGAGACAAAGGAGAAATTTTGAGGCTCTGCCAGTTCGGAATTTGCCACCATACATTTAGCTATCAATACTCACGGCGTTTGGAGTTCCCGGAGAAGGGGTGACGGCATCTATCAAAGGTGTGGAGGAAGGAGCTGTAATTTGCTGAAAACGAAAGAAAAAACTTTATGCAATCGAGACGACTCTCTGATAAGGCCGCTGGAAGATTTCAAAAACTTTAAGCTAAAATACTAAAAAATTAAATCATAATTTGTTTATTCGATGGTTTAACATATAATACGGGCGGATACTTTGCTCATTTGGGAGTTTTTAGATCAACGTTTATTTCTGAGTACGTCTGACCGAAAACCGCTAAAAGTCAGGTGACCAGGCTGCAGCGTTCACGTTCGCCGTTTACGGTCCACGAAAGAACTTCGGGCGAGGCAGTTTCAGGTGGGTCAACCCCCTTGGCGCTTTTAATATTCCTGTTCGAAAGTTCTAACGGGCGTCCTGTAAATATACGTGAGATGAAGTCTTTTCCTTTTAACAAATCCGTTCTGGATGCTAGAAAACCAAACTTTTAGCCGCATTTTGTGTTTAAAATAAGGTACTTCTATCCTTTGTGTAATTCAAGATGGCGGCGCACCTTTTTTTTTTTTCTTTTTCCGTTGATGTCGATCTCAAAAGCTGCAAATTTAGAAACTACTTACTGCTGACCGCGGTTTGACGTTTGCGGTTAACACACCAAACGTGAATCTAAAATTCTCTTTGCTCGTGTTTTTCCTCACCACGACGGAGCTTAGAAAAATACAACGCAGCGCGCATAATACCCGCTCCTATCAAACCATCGTATAAGGTATATGTAGGAAACTGAAAATAAAAGCATATTTCTTTCTAATCGTTGGGGATTACTTTATGCAAATGTCATCAAAGAAAATGCAATCTCAGAAAAAAATACCCACCACTTTAGGAACAACAGTGACAGCTTCCACAGGAACTAACAAAAATAGAAATACAGAATAAGAACCGTAATACAAGATAAATCTTTTTTTAAAAAACATTGCAAGATAAAGCAACAGATATCAATAATGGTAACATTATGACTGGATACCGTTTATGGTAGATATGTCTTTTCCCAATGCTTCCAGGCGATGTCTATCATAAAACAAAAGGTACTTAAGATACTTCAAATGATTATCACAACATAGGCAAGAGATAAAAGTGTTTTTTTTTCCTTTTCTTGCATGATTCAAATTCAGGAAATTTTGAAAAGGACCTACAGAAACACAGTAAGGTACATGGGTTGTACAAGCAATTCATCTACAAAAAGTCCTCAATTTACATGCATTTAATCCATAGAATCAGCTTGTATGTTGGCGGATTATGTCCGCGGCTGAGAGATTGTCCCAAAAATGAATATGTGGCCGAGAAGCGAAACTTCGAGGGCAAATGTGAAATTTTGAAGATACTCTCTCCCAAGGACATTATCAGCTGACAAACCAGCACGCTTGAAGGAAGGTTATTTATTTTATAACCCTCCGTTTGATTTACATATCGCGCGAGACCGCTTGTAAAAAAGACCGCTTGTAAAAAAAACCGGTGTTGCTCTGTTCACGGCCGATGATGGATTTATTATGTCAATATCACTAGACTCTACGAGGCGAGTCTTTTTTTCTTCCGTGTAAAATAATAGAGGCGAAAAGTGGAAACTTATGAGCACTAAATTTGTCTTTTTTCGACGGAAATAATCGAAGGGCAAATATCGACGCAGACAAGGGTTATTGAGCGATAACTGTCCGGTGATAACTGACCGATTTTGCACCATGTGACGTAAAGTAGCCAAGGAAATCGCGTAAAAAATTAATGGGTACGTTATCATACAAGATCATTTGGTTTTATCACTTGAGTAAGGTTGACGTTATGAGCGTTAGCTCTGCGCCACTCGCTCTGACGATTAGGCTCAGGCTTCAAACGTCACTATGGTTAATAACTTACTTCAAAGACTGGATTTCAAATTCACAGTTTCCAGCAGCTTGCTTCAAATCATACAGCAGAATCATCTCATTTCTTTTCAGGTAAAATGCAATAATAAACAGTCATAAAGTAAATGGTTTGAACCCGAGGGTAACGTGTAATAGCATAGTTTGATCTTCCGGGTGAGTGCAGTCCTGAGAATTGATTGATTGATTCTTACAGCCAATAATATCACGGCAAAACTGACCAATCAGTTTATACAAATCGGACTAGGAACATTCGACTGACAATTCACTTGACTCTGACTTCCGCCCAGGTTGTCGAAACGTCAGTCACCACTACCGACAACAGCCCTTCCCAGGACTACATTCACCCGCACGAACAAACTACACTATTACAATAAAAAATCATATTCAATCATAATACAACAATGTACAGAATATCATTACATAAGCTAATCTTTCATCACTAAAAACTTTCGCTTTACCGTTTAACTATAGTCAGACCACGAGGCCTATCTCTGAAAGTCCTGATCGGTTAACCGTCCTGTGAGGCGAGTTTTTGTTTGGTGTGATCACATTCAAGATTAGGATACTGTCATTTTGATAAATTTCATTATATTTACCAAAAAACTGACTCCAAATATTAACTGCGGCAAAATGATAATAAAACTACATGTTCGTGGTTTACCTCAGTTCATTAAATTGATGGCTGATGTGTTCAGTTGGCATCGGCATGAGATCTGGTAAAGATAAACATCCAGAATCAATTTGTAAAACTTCTGTGACGCTGCTTAACCCACTCAACCAAAACGAGAAACAATTGGGCAATTTATCTAAAACTGAGTCTCACCTATCATTCTACAGAATTTGGCAATTGATGGCTAAACTGTTAAATGTTTTTCCCAAATCTTTGCAATATTTAGCTCACTGTCTTGGCAAAGGTGGCGAAGAAAATCAAATAACTACAGCTGAAATATGTGATTGGTGAAATTTTCTCCTCAACACCCCCCCATTAAAAAAAAGGGAAAAGAGTTTTCACACGATCATGGATTCCTTTTTCATATACCCCCAAAAAGAAACCACACAAAATGAAACAATTATGGTCTCACTCAAAAGGAAACGATCGGACTCATTGTTATAATATTAATTTTTACGAATCATTGCCAAACGATAATTAAGCAGCGGAGAACATATATTAGTGAAAAAAATTAATAAATAAATAACGAATCACAAACGAATCTGTTTCACCTACCAACTCCTAACTCCTCGAGGAGTTGCTCAACTGCCTTAGCTTTCTTGATTCCAACTGATCCTGGCATCTTCATCTAAGAATTGCCAAGAAAAAAAAAAAACAAACAGAACTTAAAATATATGAAGGGAGTACAATGTAAGTTACTACAGAAACTGTGGTGCTGTGTTGTTTGGTGTGTAACGAGATAATTTGGTTAAATCTACTGAGTTCCTAACATAAATTGGCCACCATAGAGAGTTTTTAAAACTGATATTTTGAGCGTTAGCCTTCATCAAGGCGAATGATGAAGGCCAACACCAAAAACTTCAGCTTTATAAACCCCTTTACAATGGCTAATTTACATTATCAACTCAGTTATGATTTCATAAGGTGCTGAAAAGGAGAATTTTTTTAATAATTATTGGTAGCTACCTTAGTGGTGATCATTTCCTATATTCTCCTAACCTTACTGTTTGATTTAGGAGTGATGTTGAAAGGAGAAATTAAATGCCAATCACTCAAAGTTGACTTATGATGGATTTTGTCATTCTTACCCTTGCACTGCGCAGATACACACCAGCTCCTTTACTCTCTGGAAACTTGACTCCTGATGGTTCAGCCTAGGAAAATTAACAACATGATACAAGTGGATAGATGTCTTTCATCAGGTTTTTAGTGTAACTGGGCCTCCCTTGTGCAAAGAAATACAAAAGGGAAGCTCTGAATTGACCTAAGATGCCTTGAGAGGCACAGCGAATGGTGGAGGCACCCTTTAATAATCGTCAGAACAAAAATAAGCAAAACATAAACAAAGGAAAAATGCTCACTAAAAAATAATAAACCAACCTGGAATGAGGCTCTATTTTGAGTGGCCAAGAATTTCAATTCTCCATTTAAAAATGGAGAAATTACATGTACATACAGTACATGAAAAAAGACTACATTTTACTTGCTGCAAAAACAGTGATTTAAATCCTTTAATCAATCTTTTTACCTTGACTGGTTTGTCACCTAGTTCCCCCTTCTTCTTAGTTTGCTTCTTTTTAACTTGTTTCTTGTCTCTCCTGGTGAAGAAAATAATAAGATGAATCACACTATACTTTGAAAGTCTCCATTGTCAACTGTTTCATGTCAGCCTGAGTGAAAGAGAGGTTCCACATTCAGTCATAACTGTTGATCAATCTTTACCAGTTTCATTTTCTAGCAAGAACAAAGTAAATTGTAAGTTCTCATTGCTACAGTAAAACTGAGAAATATTTTAGCACCCAATGAGAGTAAACAGGCCAGACAGGCACTTGTACACTTACTTCAATCTGTATGAGTCTGTTTGATTCTCAGCAGCTGTGATGAGTTTCTGTAAATCCTGCTGTTTCTTTTCCCTCTCTTTCTTACGCATTTCTATTTTTCTTAATTCTGCCACAAGCATTTCTTCCTCTTGTACCTTAAAAGATTAAGTTCAGGAGATAATACAAGATAAGTCTGAAAACTTCAATAATAAACTCTCCCAGTTCCACGATTAACCCTTCAACTCCAACAATACTAATTATCAATAGAATATCAAGCAGACGAGTGATGAGAACAGAGAAAAATCTCAACTAGGATATAATTGGTTAATCCAAATTCTCCAAACTGCAAGCATAAGAATTTTTAAGGCAGACAGGAATTACTAATAAGATCTGAGATCATTTCTTCCTCATGCACCTTAAAATATAAAAAGTTCAGGAGATAATACAAAATAAGTCAGAAAACTAAAACAAAAAAAGAATCCATGATCAGTTCCATGATTAACCCTTGAACACCCATGAGTTATCAGAAATTCTCCTTACAGCACTATGTCAATTCAATACCAAGCAGAAAAGAATGCAAAAATATATCAATTAAGGGATTAGTTGATCCAATACCAAATTCTCCAAACTACAAGCATGAGAGTTTTTAAGGCAGACAGTAAGGAGAATTTTCTTTAATTTCCTTTCTCTGGTTTTTAAAGTACTGTCAGTTGTAACACAAAGCTCAATCATTTTTACATGTGCCAAAGTTCATAGGCAGAGGTCTGTACAGTACCTGTTCTTGTGTGCGGTTAAACAGCTTCAAAAGCTGTTTCTTTCTCTCTGTTTCATGCTGACCATCATAACGTGCTGGCAAGTTCTGTGGTTCTTGTCCAGGGGGGGCTCTAGCCTGTGGAAAACAAAATTTTTTTTGCACCATTGTGACCAGACAACTTAAATCTTTCTTTCTTTCTTTCTTTCATGACCAAGCTTAATATTTACCATCTGTCTTATTTCAATTAATAAGTGTTTCATTCCTGAATTCAATGCAACTTCAATTACATTCACCCTTTACAACCTACACATAACAATAGTGTTCATGTTCCCCGCACTGTTTCGTCAATATTTCCTAAGGCACTGACAAGAAGAATTTGTTTGACAATCAAGAGCATCTTAAATTAGTGATCATTTTGTTTCTCATAACCTTAAAGCTTAATTCAAGGATGACACTGTAAGGAGAAATTAGAAACCAATCACTCTTAGCAGTTAAATGGTAACAAAAGGTCAGTTTTAAAAGGAAACCTTGTTTAGAAATCATTCATTAAAAAAAATTGTTCTGAAGCATTCAAATCAATTGCAGAAATCTAAAGAAAGGCAGGATTAAATGACAAGTGAATTCTTAAAAAGGTATATATTTAATTTAATAATTAATATCGCTTGAATCATATGTCAGCCAGTGTAGATTGTAAGGAACCTACATGTCTAGCTTGTAAGGCAAAGCCAATGAGGGTAAACCCTTTAACCCCAAAGAGCATTTATTTTCTCCTTAAAATATCACCCTTGAATCACACACAAAGGTCATTAGAATAAAACTAGTAATAATCAAAGATTAGTAAAGTGTGTGCAATCTCTAGTAAGAGATTTTTTAATGTACTGATTGCGCAGAAAAAAAATTGGTGTTTTCAGCTCAAGGCAGCCAAGAAAACATTTGCACATGAGATTGAAGCTATTTGAGCCACATATAGCCAGCCAGTCCTAAATGGCGCACAATGCCTGAAATCACATGGCATCACAATTGATCCCCTAGGGACTGGTCCATAAAACCCTCGAGAGTGATTTCACTAAAAACGACACCATTAGCATGCCTTCTCCTTCATTGAATGCAATAAATGATCACCAACTAAGAAAGCTCTTGATTGTTAGACAAATTCACCTTGAAACCATCTTGAAATTTGTTCAGAGAACAGTATGGAGAATATGCACACTGACCTTGGGTGTAAAGGGTTTAAGTGAGGTGGAGAGAAGATACACTGTAGGATATCTTACTGACATAGCAACAGCATTCAACCTTTAAGACAAGCAGCTATTTAACATACCTTGAGTAACCTTGTAACACAGCTATAATAGCGATCCTTTAACTCTTCAATGGTGCGAGTCTACAACAACACAAACAATCAGTAAACTCTTGAAGGTAAATAGCATAATACTGTTCATGTAAGGTGTTCAGTTAATTTGTTTAAATTATTTGAGAGATGAGAAACAAAGAAACAAAAGCCCACACTTTATGCAATAAAAAAATTCACAATTTTAAAAATAAAAATTGAAAATTGAAAAAAAAGGATACTTTAATTTGTATTCTCATCCATGATTGACCAGAAAAAAAAACCACACATGTAAATATTATGAGATTTCATCTGATTACCTGATACTTTTCTCTGTCAAACCTATCATGAATTGTTATAAATCGTAGATCAAACCGTCTGCAAAGAAAACAGGAGCATAAATATGATTTGTACTACTGTACATGTATTCAAAGACAACATCAAAATGTGATGAGAACAACAAACTGGCATACATGGGGCAGCAAAGTGTGTCAATGCTTTTTACCACATTTTTGATGTCTACAGCGATCAACAGTAACTGTACAAACACATGGCAAAATGTAATCTCTTTGTTTTGTATATGTGATCAGATGGCCCCAAGGGTAATTCACCCTTTACACCCTAACATCAGTATCCACATTCTCCATACTCTTCTCTATATATTTCTTTTGGTACTGACAAGGAGAATTTATTTGAAGATCAAAGCTTCTTGTGTTGGTGATCATTTCCTTTATTCTCATGATCTTAATGAATGATTTAGCAGTATTACTGTAAGGAGAAATTAGATGCTGGTCACTCTTAGGGTCTAAAGAGTTAAGGAATACATTTCACATAAATTGTATAGAAGTAACAAGGGCAATTTTGGGAAAACTTTGAAAATACAAGTGAAATTAACCCTTAATTGCCCAAGGGCACTTGCAATTAATTTTTTCATTGTATAAACAACAACATTTTTGAGGGAATTGCATTTGGGCCCAATGTCCACATGATATAGCCCTTTCAGTGCCGCCAGAAATAGCAAAACTTATCACTGATGTGATACAAGAGGAAGTGTCTCAGTTTTGTATTGTTCTCAGGCCTGACTTATGAAATGGTTTTACATGTCTATTACCTGCACAGGTCAAACAAGTGATCAGTTTCATCTCGTGTCCAGGTAGAAGGAGGTCCATCATGAAGGTACAGCTGTAAAGAAGAAATTAAACAAACAATTATAATAATCCAGTACACATTTTTACATAATCACGATTTGCCTAAAAACTTTAAACAGTATGTCTCAGACAACCACAATAACTAAATGCAAGGCCTTACATCATGTTTTATGCCTAGTCTAAAAGACACACTAGGCTACATTTTACAGTTGTACCTCATATTTTCTGAGATACACGCTCTCCCCAGATTCCTAAAACTGTGCTGATACAATAAAATTTGCATATTGGACCTCACATATTGCAACTCAATCCTATGCTTCACACATCCACAAGGTAAAAAGGGGATAGTTGCTTTTAAGCCAATTTCATACTCCCTCTTGTATTAATTTTTTTCTGTTTAATTAACCTGCCCATACTTGTAATGACAGCGAGCCTCACAAACAATAAAATTGACCCCTCTTTTCTATGAACTTGTAAATGTACATATAATTTTGATAGAGATTACCTGGTACTCTTCATCTGTATAGCTTGGAACATTCACCTTCTGCTCATTTTAAAGAATAAACAAAGTATTTTAACACTTAATATTTAAAAAAAATTTAGAGAAAAATATTGTCTCTTAGATGTCTAACATAATGATTATAACCCACCCTATAATTTTTGCGGGATTCTATTGGCTATGTTACATCATGTGGTGCAAAATCACCAGACAATTATCACACCATGTCCCCTGTTTTAACAACGATATTTGACCACCAATTATTTTCTTAAAAAAGAAACAAAGCCAGGAGTAAAAAGCAAGCTCAATAGTTTCGGTTTTTCATTTTTATTTCTTTACATAGAAGGAAAAACAAATTTGTTGGCATAGCCAAGTGATAATGACATAAAAAAAACTGATCTTTAATGCTGCTCTAGAAAGTACAAAACAGACAACAAAATTTGTCACAGCACAGCACGAAAATTAATGGGAGGGTTATATATAAAAAAAAACTCCCCCTGTGCCTTGATGTTACATCAGTGGATAATATTATTTTCTAAAAGATCTCTCTCAAAATTTTACATTTTCCCTTGAAGAGTCGCTTCTCATCCAAATATCAATTTTTATGAAAATCTCTCAGAAGCAGGCATTATCAGACATGGATGGCATTAAAAATTGGTGTAAATGTATAAAATAATCAACAGTGTCATTAAGAAAAAGAAAAAATCCTTTAGACCACATATCTTTATCATGCATGTACTGTGCAAATATGCTTTTGTCTGAACAAAAATGTGCAAAAAAAAAAAAACCCACTCAGAAAGTAAACTTGCAACCTTAGAACAACTCAATCAAAATTCCTGTAGGTATTCCTACCGATAAAACCTCACCTTATTAAACCTGGCAAATGGATATTCTTTTCCTTCATCAGCCACCCTTCTCCAATGGTAAAGTACTGCTCCATCTGTGCGAGCAGGGTTAGTGAAAGGCACCCACTTCCATGGCCTCACATGCCTACGTCCTAACTTAGCTTTCATCTGCTTGTAGCCATGAGAAGTGTCTGATGAAGCCAGTGGTGGAGAGTCTCTAAATAATTACAAAACAAAATATTTAACAATGGTATTAGGACTGAGTGGAGTCTGATTCAGTCTGTAATCATAGAGTGATTAACAACATCGTATGACTGCAAAGTGGGAGTCTGATTTGTTAATCACAAGCACAGTTCTGCTTGCGTAATCTCAGTAAGACAGAGTAAAGATTTAACATTCTTAATCCACACCATGTCAACCAACACTTTTCATTAAACTAATTTAATCCTGCTTTTCACCTTAGCATGTTCTCACCAATGGCATTCATGTACAGTGTTGCTCCATTTTTCTGCTTATAAACAACATATAACCCACAATTCCTCCATTCACTCTAATTAGGGGCTAATGCTTGAAACATCAGCTTTAGCAAAATCTTTACAGTGGCCAATTTACATAATCAACTCAGTTGATAAAACAAAATTACCTTTCAGCCAAGATATGGTTTTTCACATTATGAACACCATTCTTCATTGAAATTCATTAGAATACATGTATCTATGGCAACATACTTTCAATTATTACAATAGAGATGTATTTCATACTATAACTCCATCAAAACAAATTTCCACTGACCTACTGTCACTGTATAACAAGGCATAAAGTTCACGATGCATTCCCTCTGGACGTTTGTAACTTTGCTCCCCAGTTCTTCTCAGTTTTCTTGGCTGCATCACCGTTAAAATACAGAAGAAGAAAGCACCATGTTTAAAATTCACTATCCTCCTTAACATGTACATGATAAACATTGAACATCATCATTGCACATAAGCATCCCATACTGACATTCTTATCCTTGCAGCATGCAGGAAGTTTGTCATCATGGACCTAAACTACAGTAGAACCCTTTAACTCCCAAGATCTCATTAGTAATTCTCCTCACTGTCCGTCATACAATTCATATGATGTTAGTTTGGAGAATTTGGAATTGAATTAACCAATAATCCCCTTATTGATATTTTTCTTTATTCTCATCACTTGTCTGCTTGATGTTATACTGATAGTGTAAGGAGAAATTCTGTCTTGGTTACTCCTTTAGCTCAGTGGTAAAGCATTCAAAGAACTAAATTGGGAAGGTTGTACATTGTGAGTACTCGGAGTTGAGTTCTTTTTCTCCGAGTCTCCTTGTGTCATTCACTGAATAACATACTTCAAGAACTGTGTATTTCTTAAACATCTAAGTCATAGCAGAATGTTCCAGAACCAAATTACTTTGATGAGTTACTGCCACCAAATGAAAAGAAATTTCCAAAAAGCATTACCACATTAGTCAATTTTTGCAATGGCAAGAAAAAAATTTCAACAGAGTACCCGCACTGGCAAATAACCCACACTTTTTGTCTTCGCTGTTTCATTGAGAATGAACATGTCAGCATCATTTTCTGTGTGAATTGCTCTGAAGCCAGCTTTTTCACAATTAAATTCTTTTATTTTCAAGTTCATTACCTGTGTAAAAGAGAATTTTTTGAACTACACAAAGAAAAAAGCTGTGAAATTGACAAGGTAACATAGTGAGAGTATGAACAAGAGAAAAGCTTTATTATTGAGTTTTGTATGTTTTTGATTTGCATCGGCTTTCATCCAGAGAATATAAGTCTCTTACTACAGTGAGCAATCTGCACAAAATAAATGAGTTATTACACAGGTTTTTTTAAGAGTATCTCAAGTGGATGTTATCATCTCTGTTTTTTTCTTGCTTATAGTTTTAGAACTATACCAGAAGCTTTAAAAATTATTGTATTACTCACATCTTCCTATAACCCACACCAACAACTGTTTGTGGAAAAACTAACAGATTACCCACAGGTAATCAGCCAAAAATTACGGTAGATGAATTTCTTGGCTGAGGAGAAATGCTGTGACATGAAAACTTACATGTACCAAAGAAACAAGCCTATTGAGGATTAATGAAGTTTCTGAAACAAGCCACCAGCTAGCAAACTTAACTGGTTACTTTAAAAGGTGTAGAAAGTTACCTCTGTTATCAAATTACAATACAATCAGGAAGATGATATGTATATTGACTGTAACACCTCTGTACCAAACCCTAACCAACACATATCTTGAACAAGATCTAAACATACCCTCCTTTTTATGAAAACCCTGTTTTAGGGTATCACAAAAGAAAAATTAGCACTTTCATTTGTATAGGTAATCACATGATTTTGAGTGCAATTTGGAATACATAAGCACAAGTAAATTTTTTTAAAGACCAACAAAATTGTACAAGCCTGTAGGACGAGTGCAATTTGTGGTCTTTGAAAAAATTAACAAGTGCTTATTTATTCCAAATTGCACTAGAAAAATTTTGTGATTATGTGTTAATAATAACAAGGCGTGAAATTAATTTTTTTTTCTGATAGCCACTTGGCTCCCAAATTCATCAAAGTGGTAGCCAATTCAAAAAAAGTTGGTTGCCATTTTGAAAGACAAAACATTTTTTTTATGCTGTCATCGTTCTAGAAATTAAGTTAGGGAAAAGATCTTTAACGTGCTACAAAGGGGACACTAGGATGGATGATATGCAATGTTTAAGCTCACCTAAATCCAAGATGGTGTCTAGTTATCGATCGAGATGCATCTGCTGCGTTTTGGAAACAAACTTAACGAGGAAGTTTGCCGCGGATTTGTCTTTGCAAATCTTTTTAATTCACTATATCTCTAGGTAAGGTTATGATGAAACATTCTAGTCTCCAATTTGGCGACTAATTTTCAGGATTTGGTCGCCAAAGTGAAAAATATAGTTGCATTGGCACCTGTATTAGGCGCAATTTCACGCCCTGAATAAACATGAAAAATACAAGATAGCTTATCATAATTAAGCATAAACAAAGCCCGTGCATCAAGTGCAAAAATAATTTGTTCAAACTGTGCATTCAGTCAAAACAACCACATACAATCAAAACAATAATGTGCAATGATATCTTCACATCTTTAACGCTTAAAAAAGTTCTAAGTCCAGCTAAACAGTTCCAGGAATTGTTCAGTCTGTGTCCCAATCACTTTCGATGAAATGGAATCATCATTTCCGAAGTTTAACCATGCTTGTTTTTAATTTTGGTGTTGGATCACTCAAGCAAAGTGTTAAGCTAGGTTGGTTCATAATTTTCGATTTCCTTGGTAATTCCCCTCTCAAAACACCACTTTTTCCAAACTGACAACCAAAAAGCAGTGCTTTTTACAGTGTTTTCATTGTTTGAGCTGTTTTTCAGCTGCTGTGGTGAGAGAAAACCTACTTAAAATGTCGGCCATTGTTTCACTCACAAATTTTCAAATTCTGTTGCAACATCCAAGGCTTGCATTTGATTGGCTATCTCTGAGTTTCTTTGATCATTGACCAATCAGAATGTCTGATTTGTTACTTTCTTTGCACTGAATTAACCCTATTCTGCACTGAATTAACTCTCTTCTGCACTGAATTATCTGAAAACTGCATTTATCTTAACCAATCAGAACTGAGTAATTTTTTCATGTATATCATCAAAACTGAAATATCATCACCTATACTCAGCAACCTTTTTCATTTTCACCAGAACATGATCTGCACATACAAGTGTATTGAACTAAAAACACCTTGTGTGAGATTTGTACTTTCACACTTCCTCATTTTTCAATCATTTTTTTTTTTTAAATTCAAAGTAGCACTTTTGAACAAGGTTATTAGTGGAGATGCCTTATCTCAAAAATTAACAAAAAAACTTAAAAATCACAGACACAGCTTTTAGTTCAATATGTGAAAATTACATTCCAATGAAAAACAAAAGATGTTGATTAGGAGCATTGTTTAAAAAAATATCCTGTAAAATGTCTCAGCATGAAAGAGTAAGCTCCTCTTCCGTTAAATGGTCAAAATTATTACAGTAAATTGCACATCCAAAATCAGATTAAAGTAAACTTAAAGAAAAATTTGCAAGCCATTTCAGTTTGAATGAAAACAATGACTTTCCTCATGTGATGCCTGAAATCCTTTCACGATCATGAAAATTATGCATGATACTTCCCATCAAGGTGACAAAAGCAAGAATTCAAGAAAATCTGTTTAAAAAATAATTACCCCTCTTTCCTGGCGGCACATAACTACAAGTACATCCTTAGGAACAAGTGCTGCTCAATTCCCGGCTCAACAGGCGTCGCACTTCGAGTATAGTGCCAACTTAAAAATATCTCACATGAAGATCTCAAAACTGGTTTTACAGCAAGCTTAATCACACACGGTGTGACTGTAAACATGACTTATATCATCAATGCAGAAAGTAAGAAAACTCGTTAAAAAATATCAAAAGAAAGAACAAATTTACCTTGTTTCCCCCGACAATAGCTTCTTTGGTGGGAACAGAAGCAAGTCCTTGATCCAACTCTAAAATATCTCGAATATCACTCATATTTTCAATTCAACGATGAAGTCACTCTCAAATAATACAAAGCACATAAGTTAACAAGTCTTTAAAAGAGTTCTTAATCTTCTCGGACAGCAACAAAGTATACATTTACGACTTCGTTGTCATAACCTCGAAGCCGCCATTATGTGTTCACTCAACTAGTTCCCATTTTGTCTCGACCAGACTCTCCCCCAGTCCAAAGCGCGACTACCGTCACATGCGGGGCAAATTACTGAGTATTATTGATTTCCTGAGGAAGAGGACATTTTTTCTTAATCAAGAGGCCACTTTTGACAATCAAGCGGACATGATTATTTGATACTGACTGAGCCTTTTTGCTGTTTTCGGCAACGATTTATTGACTGCATTTTAACTGAATGAAGCCGTGTAACGTTGTTAACTGTATTGGTCAGTTGCGTTTGTTTTGACATTTGTGGCGGCATTGAAAGGGCTTCATCGCGCGGACTTCGAGCGCGAATGCAATTCCCTTAAAAATTTTGCCCTAGATTTTGGTGAACAAGCAATGTAAGTGCCCTCGGGCTCTTGCGATTTTTAAATTTATCCCAAAATTCAAATTTTGGTAAAAGTTTGAAAATGCAAGTGATCTCTTTGCTAGCCAATGACAAGTCCTAAAAGATCCACGTGATCATACCCGTTATTGGAACCAAAGAAGACTCCATTAGGCGCTCATCTTTGAATGTACTTTTCAACGGTTGATCGCTCGTGCGTCAAGTTATTTCTTTTCTCAACTGTTTTGCTTAATATAACATTTCTAACGATGGGTTTTATTGAATTTCAATGGGAAAACGAGAACAGTGTGAGTGTTGTAAATGAAAAGAAAGCCGTTGGCGCCGTGGAGTTAAAAGAGGAGACGCGAACGAGTTATCGACGAGGACACAACCAGTTATCGGGACTGTGACATCAACACTGTAAGACTCATCATGATAATCGGTCAGATTTTTTAAGAAAACTTGGCGTTCTAGATAAGATCTTTGGTAAAAAGCAATTCTTTTTTGTTGTCAACAAAGTTTGTAAGGTGAGTTTTGCTCAAAGCTCAATAAAGCATATAGGCATCGCCAATGACTAAATCCGCTTCAGACGCGAATGAGTTATTGTGTGACAACAACACCGTAAAGACTCATCATGTCAATCGCTCAGATTTTTTAAAGAAAACTTGGCTTTCTAGACTTCACTCTCAATCCACTGTCGTCGAATGTACTGGACAAGTCTCCCCAGCTCGTCGGTTTGGGCCTGCTCCTCGAGTAGGTCGAACATCGGTTGGATTTCCGGATACGGGAGGAACGGGAGGGCCATTAGCTTCCTGATGTACTTGTAAACGGAATCGTCGTCCATGTACGCCCTTTGGAGGCCAAGCTCTTGTACCTTAAAGTAAAAAATGGTAAAAAAGGTGTAAATAAAGTACAGTAAAAACCCGCGACCCGCATTTTAGACGATAATGGATTTTAAGTAAGTTCATTTTAAGTAAGTTCACTGTCAGATGATATAAGAAACTAAATAACATTGGTCACGGTTCAGTTTTGGTCAGTGTAATGCCTGAAAATTTAGTGTTGTAGTTAAATTTAGTTCTTTACTGGATGTAATTTGCCAAGAAAAAAAAAAACACGTAATACACACCTTCCTCCAGACGGCCTGTGTCCAGTGAAAGACACATCCCTGAATTTTTACAGTGGGGAGCACTTCTCTGATGGCCGACCAAATTGCCTTCTCAAAGTCGACGGTGACCTGCCTGACTGAGAGCTGGGGCATTAGGTGGACTAGATTCTGGAGCACCTGGAAATAAAAGAACAACCCAGTAAGTCATTTTTCTTACAATCATTCTGAAATTCAATGTGTGTAGAAAGCGTAAAAAGAAAATGTTATTGATGTGTTCTTTTCCAATATGAATTTTCAAAGTGTTTAATTATCTTCTCATATACTCCAGATTTAATATATCAGAATAGAGAAAACAAGATCAAGGCGAAAAGTCACTGACTACATAATATGAATTATTAGTTATGAATGAGTATTCCTGATTTCCATTTTTCCGTTTTCTGACTCACAAACATTTCAGTAACTAAAAAAACGGGTAAAAGAACCTTACTGCCTGTTTCTAGACTTTGATCAAAACTGTTTTTTAAATCTATTTGTAATACATTTCACAGAACCAAACTCACCGAAAGTGCCTTCATCAGAGAAAAGTGGCGTTCCGCTCTCTTCTGGTTCAGAAACGGTTGCAGACAGCTAAAGGATAAAACAAGTGCAATTAGTTGAAGTACTCCATTGACTACAGAGATTATAAAAACAACACTATGGTTATATGATTATATATGGTTTATGATTATAAAAACAACACTTTGCATTTTTTTTTTGCATTTTTTTTTAACTAATAAACCCGCGTATAAGAACCTAGAAAATTAAGAACCTTGGGGTTTATTTAGGAAGGAACGTGGAACTGCTATTCATTTTCAGCTACTTTGCATGTGAAAATGGAAAGTTTTATTGCTCTAAGTTAAATTCAGCAACATACAGCGCCGGTGACGCGTGGCGTGCCGTGCATTTATGTGGGCCCACTGTGTTTTAAGTTGCGCGTACAAGAGAAGGAAACTAAGTCCGAACAAAATAACGGAAGGAAACTAAGTTCGAACGGGGAAATCAAGTCAGCTCAGTCAAGTAAATAACACACAGAAGCAAGAAGAAGTAATGGTAAATTTTTATTTAGAGTAAACTAATACATTGGCGAAGTGACCAGTAGGACGTTGGCGAAGCGACTTTTCGCTTTGGCGAAGCGACCTAAGACGTTGGCGAACGTGACGTTGACGAAATCACTCGTTGGCGAAATCACCAGATACCCTTAATTCACTGATATTTTCACTGCTGTCGCAATTAACATTCACAACAAAGTCTCATTTAACATATGATGGAATATTTCAAGAACTTTCTTCCTTTCTCTTCAATACTATTTGCTACTTCTGGATCACTATTAAAGGAAGCAGATTGTTAAAAAAATTAAATTTTGATTCAGGCAATTATTTGAATATGTAAGTAACATTTGATGTTTTCACATGTAACAGGATGATCAAGCTGAAGATAGCCTCAAAAAGGAGTCAGTGAACTCAACCGTAACAATTAGGTGACAACTTTGGAAACTTGAGCACTTGGTAAATACACCTTGGCATGTAATTTTGATGATTACAGTTTGCTGAGGTAATTGAAATGTCAGTCCCCAAGCAGGAACCGTCCACTTGACCTGTACAGTCACAAGTTATGAGATACCTTTAGAAAAGTGCATTGTGTCAGTAGAATTATTGTAAGTACAGTACCACCTAGTGATAAAAATTAATGATTTCCTGTGAGCATGAATGTTTGAGAGAAGTTATGGTGGTAATTGACTCTTGTTTGCAAGGTTGCATACTGGGCTTGACAATTGTAATGTATATCTCTTAGCTTTTAAACTTTCAACTTTGTATTAATTGTAACTGTTTGCCATATCTATTTCTCTATACCTTAAGCCCTCAAAGTTGAAGCAGGTGAGTCAATTACCTGACTTCCGTTGTTTGGAATTGTGTGATTATATAATTTTGCTGTGTAAGTTGCCTCATTTTAACATGTATTATTATTTGTATTGCATTAAATACTCCAGCTCAAGCTTTCATTAATGCATGGTGGTTCTTACCAATACCCATACCCATGCTAAACATTGATATAAGAAACTGGTCACAAGATATGCAAGTTTTAACCCTTAAACTACCATGAGTGACCAGGACAGAATTTCTCCTCATAATATCAATACAAGCAGTAGACAAGTGGTTACAATAAAGAAAAATATCAATTAGAGGGTTATAAGGTGATCCAATACCAAATTCTCCAAACTAACATCAAAAACTGCATAGCAGAGAGTAAGGAGAATTACTAATGAGATCTTGGGAGTTAAAGGGCTAAAGGGTGGGAACCTGGAAAAGCAAGGATCCCCCTTTAATTAGGACTGAAATTAAGGGGGCCTCCTATTTTAAATTATGCTTTTATTTTGACCTGCCTCCTCCCCTTAAGTGTTTAGGGTACATAGATGAAGAGGACATTTTTTTTGTAATTTGATGCATGAAAGTTAAATCAATTGGTGTCCACACAATGCACAAAGCAAGAATTTAAATGACAGCTTCATAGGTTAAAAAATTAAAATAAGAGAGTTGTGCAGACCACATCACATCTTACCTTTTATCCTTCTTTGGATATTTACTCAAATAACATAGTCACTATCAGTCTCACTCACTCTCACTTTCCACTGAGTGGAAAGATGATAACCTCAGTATTTCTTTAAATGAAGAAAGGAAAGCCTGCCCTATTAACACAGATAGTTCTGTTGTACATTATCAGTACATACCTGGTCTTATTTGTACATGAAGTTGATTGTTCTAGGTAGGCTAACTTTATAAAGTTGAGGTGAAAATTTCTTGAACCTGTCATTGAGTGAATGTTTGACTCAGTTTTACCTCACTAACCTAAACTGAAAACATAGAAACTTGAAATTTATTTGTTCTCCGTTTGAGGTGTGCATCAAAATTTTGAAGTTATGGCAGGTGTTACGAAAAATTGTCTAAGTAAAGTCCCAGAACATTCTAGAACCCGAAGTCATCTAGACGTGACCTTCTAGTAAAAAGAACATTCTGGAACGTTCTATTTCTTACATAATTGTTCAAATTTAGAAACCGTGTTAATCTACTAAATTCAGTTCTTTAGAGAAGTTTCTAGATCCTTATACTTTATGTATATAAGAGCTACAGTTCCATCGAACAGACAGAGAAATTTGCGAGGAAGATGTTGTTGTTACCGACGATCGTGACTTTTGTCTAGGAACAACCCTGCTCTACATCGACACTCGTAACAGCAGGCTTGAACTACAAGTTCAAATGAGATCTGCATGCATGTGTGTTTTCAGCATATAAAATCCAGATTATGACTACTTCGAATGACTTTACTACGTGCCTTACGGGTAGTCAGGCAGGTGTTGTAAAAGGGTTGCTTAGCTTTTGTATTAGTGCACATTTCTTTATCTAAGAATCTTGTTTATTCTGCTTATGCTGAATTCTAATTTTTCAAGCAAATTTTATATTCTTTTGAATATTCGTAGACCTCCGAGTATCAGTAAATATTCATGTAATTAAAATAATTACATGAAATCTTGCAGATTTATGGTACATTATTTTTTCTCTGATCCTACTAACATTTCATTTAGTGTGGGGATTGGTATTGGCTATAAAAGTATAGTCAAATTAAAGTTTTGCGCACAGCCTGTGCATTAAATTTATGTAATGAAATATCGTATCCTTCTTAAAACTAGTCTATAAGAACAAGAATGAGCTATGAGGCACAAGTATGGCTTTCATGATGACAGTTTCCAGGTTTAAAAAAAAAACCTAAAATCCTCAGTTCCTTTACCTTGACAGCCCAATCTCGTCAAAACATTGGCAGCAGGAGCGATTAGCAAGTTAACGATACAGACAAGAGAGCCTATTCCCACATACACCCTCCTCAATCCTGTTAGCTTATTATGGAAATGGCATTTCAAACCAGGTGTATATGTCACAAATGTTCCATTTCCCCAACTAATTATTTTGTAAGGGTGTTTACAAGTTGTGGAAAATGTTTGGGTCAAAATATAATACAAAGACTTGCCAGTAAACTATTTACATATCAATAAAAGTTATTGTTGTGTTTCATTTTGACAAGTTGCAACAACTCCACCTTTCCGTAAATTCAATTATTTGCAAACATGAGAAAATACCCTCTTAAACTTTTTAACCCATTTATTATAGCCAATAACAACATCTACTCAACTTTAAAACTAAAGAGGAAACTTGATTGATGTTTGGAAATGGAATCCAGGTATCACATGTATCTAAAGTTTTCTACAAATGTCTTCATGGTCAAATCCTATGTCTCTCTTTGACATCAAGTTTTAATAATGACTTTCTTTCTTTCGACTAGCATGCGTTTTTAGCGCTATGCAAGTTACATCGTACCCAGGTTCCAGACCTCGTCAGTTCTTTGCTTCCCTCCCTACCCCTCCCCCTCCCCTCCGGACTGGTCCCTAAATCCCTTAAAGGAACTCTTCTACAGCCGGTGCCGAAGAGTTTTATTTTAATGAGGGGCTAGAAAATAAAACAGCAAGAGCTCCGCTTTTAGCCTTGGCTAAATCTACATATTATGGTTTACATTGAAGTCTTCGGTTAAAAATGCTTCTGGCTTCTCGAGGATTTCGAGGGCTCTCAGCTCCTTCTTAACACCCATTCGGGAGTTAGTTTACAAACCTGCCCGTGACGCAAAACGTTCTATTTCGCGTTGCATTTTGTTTTATGTAAAAAGCTTTTAGTGTCAGCGGAAAGTACAAGTGAGTTCATGTTTATCTGTCCAGTCCTTCTAGGTAAAAAGTAAGCCAAGAGAAGATCAACTAGTTATTCCCTTAAGTTAGCCTAAGTGCGCACGATTGGTTCGAAAAATGATTGGTGTGACACAATAACGAGACATTATGTAATTTGTATAAATTATTTTATTAGTTTTGCCTTAAAACTCCAAAGCCGACGCCATGGCAAAGGTGGGGGTTACACAGTCCCGATTTTTCCAAAAGTTGATTTTTTCGGGTTTACGTGTCCGGTCATGGATAAATAGAATCCATGTTCTCGAGCGTTAAAAAAATTGTCACGTAACGGATCAAAATAAAATATATAAAACGCCGTAAACAAACGTGCGCGAGCTTAGTTCTATGAGTCATCTACGAGAAGGTTGGAAAGCGAAATGTTTTTTTTTTTATGAACAAACAAATATATATGGCAATATGATTATGTTATCTTGCGCATCATATAATAGTTTTTTTTAGAATTACGCTACAAAAAAAAAAAGTATACAGTCGAAACGATTTAATGTAATGAAATCAGTTTGAGAGGACCATTAGGTTCCTTTTTTCTTTCTTTCTGAGTAACCGATCAGGTTTATTGTTGTCCTAACTGTAACTATCAGCATTACCAATATTCAGCAGAAAATACCATTTCAGTGTCTAGCTTTTAGCTTCATCAGTCATAGCATCGAAAAAAAACAAAATCTTTCTGTCTCCAAAAATATCAAGTACCACATTGCTATTTCAAGCTTGGATTTATCTCCCAGCGGTTGTGGTGTGATTCATTTGCAAAGAAGAACAAATTCAGAGGATTTTAAGCGTAAGTATGATTTATGATTCATTGTACATTGAAAAGTATGTTCGGTGCCATTCCAGTATTTTAATATATACATTTTGAACAGAACAGAAAAGGCTAGGCCCACAAACTTAACTGTGATTACAATTTTTAACATTCAAGTCAACGCCGAATTGACTGCGGTAGCGGATGAAGAACAGATTAAATCTAAGAGGCCCAGCCGAGTAGAATCATTTCGTCTATTCTCATATATCATTCTAGAGTGAATTTTGTTCTTTTACTCTCTTGACTGTGGGATGTCAAAAACTCGTGAAACGCATATCAAGTTGAAAAGTGTCATGTCACATCAGAGGAAACACGACATGTTCATTTTGAATTCGCATTTATCAGACATATTGAAGTTGATTCGCCTAGATTCAGATCCGGTCAACAGAAGAATTCTTGATCAACACATTTTGAAGTTATAAGGTTTTCAAAGGCAACAGGTCGCCCTTTTTTTTCCACTTCTGTTTTATTTTAATATGTTTTATGCCATAATTTGCTTGTGACTTGTCACGCATTGTTGCGTGGCAACTGAGTTCAACGAGTTGTTAAGTCAAAGTTTATTAATGCCACGCATGGACATGAAATTTAACCGAGCGAATACTGTTTTAAAAAAAAATATTACCACCGAAAAGAAGTCGTTCAAGCTTTAGCCATGACATGCAACAAAATTCGACTCTTTTACATCTTTACTCTGTGTAATTCTCTCTTTCATCTTCGCTGTTCGCATTTATTAAACGTTTCGCGCGCAAATATTCATTTCATTTTCCAGCTTTTTGTTTCCTTGTAGTCACATGATCAGGACACTGAAATACGCCGGCACGTCTTCAATTCATTTTAAAGAAAAAATGATGTCTCTGCATAACTAATGCTCGCTTGTTTCAACTTCCAGCGGTTGTAGTTTGATTCATTCGCGGACAAATTTTTTTAGAGGAGTCTGAGGGCAAGTGTGATTTGCTGTTAATTGAAGAAATGTAAAATGGTTTCCGTGTTTACATAGCCTGATGTAAACACGTGGGAGGTTGGGAGAACACGACATAAGCTGGAAACCACTCCGCTTCGCGTCGTGGTTTCTTACGCTTATCTCGTGTTCTCCCAACCTCCCGCGTGTTTACATCAGGCTATGTAAACACGGAAACCATTTTACATTTCTTTTATAAAATAACTAATGAAAGAGGAACGAAAACCGTGTTTAAATACGCTCATGTAAAATGGTTTTATGGCCAATCAGAGCGCGCGTACTATTTGAATTATTAAATCTTTGTGAACATTATGTTAACATGATGTTCTAATTACATTAAACAAGAATTACGAAACATCTTTGATCAATTGCCACAAGGTATCGCAAATGCGGTGACTCTTAAACTCACAGATGTGATCAACAAACATAATCTCTTTGCGATTTAAATACATTCTCTAACAAACACCAATGAGAAAACCTTAACCTATCAGCTTTAAGGTGTAACGATGAGATCATACCAAATTCTCATTAGTATTTATAAGGAATTGTAAAGCAGCTGGAAATAAGAATTAAGCACTAGATCTTAAGAGTATTGCACGCGTAAAAACCACATTTCGCTATCAGATTCTGAAGTTAACTCGAGCAAAAAATTCTCACAACGCTTGAATCGAGTTCATTGTCAAGTGACGTCGTCGAACTAAATTAATACTTTCACAACAATGCCATGATTGCAAGTGAAATTTAAAACTGCTAGACATGATTAACATTTGATTTATCCGGTCAAGAGGTGAAGAGAATAGGAAGACTGATCAGTTTTAAAGCGTCTGGAGTAACTTACTTATGAAAGATCAAATTTAGGAAGCCCAGCGAATTAAAACCCATTCGTCCGATCTTCTTCAAGTCGTCAACAGTTAACACGTGACACGCGATGTAAACGCGAGATGTTTTTTTTCTATCCACGTTTATCACGTGCTTGCGAAATCGCACGTATCAGATCGATTAAAGATTTCTGATTCGTAATATTTTGCGTATTTTGTATAGTGTTTTAAATGGGCTATACAGCCTAAACTATTAACTCCTGAGGGTAGCGTTGCGTGACATCCTAAAGAATTGTGTGTATGTTTATGTGCAGAAAATGGTGCTACGCCATTGGTCGGAATATGGTGATGAGAAAACACGAATAAATTACTTGAATGAAAAGCGCTTCGTTGATACCGTGAAGATTTCGAGTGCCGGTTTAAAAGATAAATTTTTGTTTTAGAGTTTTGCAGTTTTCCGAACTGCCTGGATTTAGGGAAAGGCTGGAAATTGTCATATGCTGTTTAGAATGGTTAGGAAGATTAAAGTGTCTAGCGACTGGTTTGGATGTGAGAAAAAGTAAAAAAGAAAAACATATAAACCATGATACGTTCATTTCTGTTGTTGAGTCTAATTCCAGAAAAAATATCCACAAGCTACTGTATGAAATTTTCAATGGTTCGAGAAAAATAAAATCATCTACTGAAATGTGTGCTGCGTATGTACAAAACTGACATGAATACTGAAATCTCGATAATTTTGCAACTCAATAATTTTCAAAATTCTCTTGATTTAGAGAGGATGCTTCAAAACACACACGTGGGAACCATAGTGAGCAACAGGGCAAATATCGTACAAACCCTCCATATAGGTACCTATGTTGCTGCCTTCCTGCAAAAAACTGAGCGTAATCTACAAGCAATCGAGGTAAGCAAGGAATGTTTGGTTTTGCTAAACAACTCAGCATTGGGTATAGAAGATCAAGTCACTAAATCATACAAGTGTAACATCTATAATGCAATGTTCAATGCATACAAAGACATTTCTGATTACACAAACGCAGAAAGATGCGCCAGAATTCTTCTTCCCATGCTCCACGACTTTGGAGAAACAGAACAAGAAGGAATCGTAAGGTTTGAACTGGCAGAAATATATTGCAAACAGAGAAAGTTTGAACAAGCCAAGAAACTTCATGAGATCGCAATAGAAAACATGAAAGAAATTGGAGAAAGGAAAGGGGAGGCCAATGGTTACAATGCTCTAGGAAATGTGTCAAATTCACTTCACGAATATCAGAAAGCTAAAGAGTATTTCGACAAAGCACTTGCCATCAACATAGAAATTGGTGACAAGGGAGGAGAAGCAAAAAATTATGGAAACCTAGGAAGAGTGTTTCACTCACTCGGTGAATATCAGAAGGCTAAAGAATTTCACGAGAAAGCACTTGCTATCAACATAGAAATTGGTGACAAGGGAGAAGAAGCAACAAACTATGGAAACTTGGGAAATGCGTTACACTCGCTCGGTGAATTTCAGAAGGCTAAAGAATATCACAAGCAAGCACTTGCCATCAATGTGGAAATTGGTGACAAGGGAGGAGAAGCAACAAACTATGGAAACCATGGAATTGTGTTACACTCGCTCGGTAAACTTCAGAAGGCTAAAGAATATCACGAGAAAGCACTTGCTATCAACATGGAAATTGGTGACAAGGGAGAAGAAGCAACAAACTATGGAAACCTAGGGAGAGTGTTACACTCGCTCGGTGAATTTCAGAAGGCTAAAGAATTTAACGAGAAAGCACTTGCCATCAACACGGAAATTGGTGACAAGGGAGGAGAAGCAACAAACTATGGAAACCTAGGAAGTGTGTTACACTCGCTCGGTGAATATCTGAAGGCTAAAGAATATCACGAGAAAGCACTTGCCATCAACATGGAAATTGGTGACAAGGGAGGAGAAGCAAGAAACTACGGAAACCTAGGAAGAGTGTTACACTCGCTCGGTGAATATCAGAAGGCTAAAGAATATCACGAGAAAGCACTTGCCATCAACATGGAAATTGGTGACAAGGGAGAAGAAGCAACAAACTATGGAAACTTAGGAAGTGTGTTACACTCGCTCGGTGAATATCAAAAGGCTAAAGAATCTAGCGAGAAAGCACTTGCCATTAACATGGGAAATGGTGACAAAGGAGGTGAAGCAAGAAGCTACGGAAACCTAGGAAGTCTGTTACACTCGCTCGGTGAATATCAGAAGGCTAAAGAATATCACGTGAAAGCACTTGCCATCAACATGGAAATTGGTGACAAGGGAGGAGAAGCAACAAACTACGGAAACCTAGGAAGTGTTTTACATTCACTCGCTGAATATCTGAAGGCTAAAGAATTTCACGAGAAAGCACTTGCCATCAACATGGAAATTGGTGACAAGGGAGGAGAAGCAAGAAACTACGGAAACCTAGGAAGTGTGTTACATTCACTCGGTGAACATCAGAAGGCTAAAGAATTTCATGAGAAAGCACTTGCCATCAACACGGAAATTGGTTGCAAAAGAGGAGAAGCAAGAAATTACGGAAACCTAGGAAATGTGTTTGAATCATCCGGTGAACATCAGAAGGCGAAAGAATTCCACGATAAGGCACTCGCCATCAACGTGGAAATTGGTCACAAGGAAGGAGAAGCAAGAAATTACGGAAACCTAGGAACCGTGGTTGCATCATTCGGTGAACATGGGAAGGCGAAAGAATTCCACGAGAAAGCACTCGCCATCTACATGAAAATTGGTGACAAAATTGGAGAAGCAGGAAGCTACGGAAGCCTAGGAAATGTGTTACTTTCACTTGCTGAACATCAGAAGGCTAAAGAACATCTCGAGAAATCACTTTCCATCAACATGGAAATTGGTGACAAGAAAGGAGAAGCAACAACTTACGGAAACCTAGGAACTGTGTTCATTTCACTCTGTGAATATCAGAAGGCTAGAAAGTATTATGCGAAAGCACTTGCCATAAACATGGAGATTGGAAACAAGAAAGGAGAAGCAAAATGCTACGGAAATCTAGGGACTGTGTTCTGTTTACTTGGTGAATATCAGAAGGCCAAAGAATACTGTGCGAAAGCACTTGCCATCAACATGGAAATTGGAAACAAGAGAGGAGAGGAATCAAACTACAGAGACCTAGGAAATGTGTTCAATTCACTCGGTGAATATCAGAAGGCTAAAGAATATCTCGAGAAAGCACTTGTAATCGCAACCGAAATTGGTGACAAGATAGGAGAAGCAAGAAGCTACGAAAACCTAGGAGGTGCGTTAACAGTACTCGGTGAATATCAGAAGGCTAAAGACTATCACGACAAGGCACTTGCCATTAGCATAGAAACTGGCGATAAATCGGGACAAGCACATTGTTACTTGGAAATTGGACTGGCATTTCTAGGGCTCAAAAAATATCGGGACGCTAAGGAATGTGGCGAGAAAGCACTTTCTATTGCCACAGAAATTGGTGACCGACAAAGTCAAGCACAAGCTTTCGGTATCCTCGGCAGTGTGTCTGAATGGCTTCATGATTATCAGAAGGCCAAAGAATCTTACGAGAAACAACTTTCTATCAGCAGTAAAATTGGCCACAGAAAAACAGTAGCAAAAGGTTATCTACTCCTAGGAAAAGTGTCTTTAATCATTGGCACATATGACAGAGCTGACGAATACCTTGAGAAAGCCCGCGTGATAAGCTGCGATGTCGGATACATACTGAATGAGTTTAACACCCTGTTCTGTTTGTCGGTCTTGAGCTTATCGCAATCAAAGACCCTCGAAGCATTTTATTATCTTCATCAATGCATAGCTAAATATGAAACGATCCGAAATTTTCAGCAAGGAAATGAACAGTTTCAACTGGGTCTTTTAGAGTCGCACGGAACTTCTCCCTACAAGTTGCTTAGCTCACTGCTTTGTGCCGTTGGAGATCCTCGAGATGCTATTTATGTCGAGGAGCTTCGACGGGCTAGATGCTTAGCAGATTCGATGGCACGAAACTTTTCTGTTGAAAATCACTTCTCAGATGATCCAAAATCATGGTTTGGGATGGAAGAGATTGTGAGCAAAGAACGTAACTCTGTATTCCTGTACATTTCGTATGACGATCGAAGGGTTTCTCTTTGGGTTTTGAAAGCAAACGGAGACACTTTCTTTCGACAACACGAAGAAGTCGATGACAAATACCTCATGGCTGCGAAAGCTTTTGATTTGAATAGTTCTTTCCACACGAGTCTCCGCCACTTTGGCATTTTACCCAAACAGAAATGTGAAGATCGATTCCTGTGTGAAACCATACCCATATCGCTTCACGATGGAAACGAAACAGATTTGAGAGGCGAGGACACTAAAGAAACTGAAAGGAGACTTTCTGTGTGTTTCAAGGCGATCATCGCTCCAGTGGCCGATCTACTCACCGAGCCGGAAATCATCATTGTTCCCGAACGTAGCTTGTACGGGGTCCCATTTGCCGCCATACGTGACCATCCTGGCGGAAAGTGTTTAGCAGACACCTTCAGGATCCGCATCGTCCCTTCTTTGACGACTCTTAAGTTTATTCAGGACTGCCCAGCGGACTATCACAGTCAGACCAGTGCACTGGTTGTAGGTGATCCCATGGTAGGAAGGGCACATTACAGGGGAAAAATAAAAAACTTCACATCACTGGCCAGTGCAAGAGAGGAAGCAGAGATGATCGGAAAATTGCTGGGTGTTCAGCCTTTGTTAGGAGAGCGTGCGACAAGAGAGGCGGTACTTCAAGCAATGAACTCAAAGAGTTTGATTCATATTGCTGCCCATGGTAATCCCGACAGAGGAGAGATTGCCCTTTCCCCCAGACCCTCTTCGAGTAACATTCCAGAGGAAGAAGACTACCTTTTGAGGATCTGTGATATTTCAAAAGTTAAGCTGCGAGCTAAACTGGTGGTACTCAGCTGTAGTCACAGTGGACGTGGAGAGATCAAAGTCGAGGGAGTCATTGGGACTGCTCGAGCGTTTTTGGCATCCGGTGCCCGTTCAGTTTTAGTGACACTGTGGGCCATAGAGGACAAAGCAACAGAGCAGTTTATGAGGCATTTCTACAGACACCTTGTTGACGGACTTAGTGCCAGTGAATGTCTTCACAAGGCTATGAAATGGCTGAGGAACATCGGCTTTACCAAAGTTTCCCAATGGGCTCCATTCATGTTGATTGGAGATGACGTCACATTTGACTTCACAAAACAAAGGTTAGTTGCACAAAATACTTAACTACCTACGTACATTAGCCGGTTCCAGTCGAGATAGCAAGAACTAGTGTATAGACACGTTTGCTTTCATCCTTGAAATCTTGAAAGAATCTTTCAGTTCCTTTGTAGAGGCAGTCAAATATATTTTTTTGAGAGTTCCAAATCACATTAAGAAAATTGAATTAATGGTTATTTTTCATTTTGAATAGGAGCGTTTAAAACATTCCCAATGACAAATTTAGGTGTTCGTCCACAGCCGATGGCTTAGAAACCCGCTAAAACTGGGTCAGTCAGTTGTGATGGCGACCATGATGATGATGATGACGATAACAATTTTCAGAGTGATACTTGTGAATGATTTATATCATCTTTATTAATAATTGTTTTTCTAATGCTTTTATTGTTTTGTTTTAGAATAGAAGAATCTGACCGTAAAGGACATGAATGAAACCTCCAAGTAACAGTCAGCAAAGGACTTCATTATTCTCGAACTTTCATATCTTTGTCCATAGTCTAATGAAGTATCATAAGAAAATTTCCATGCTCATAATCGACAGCAAAGATTGTTTCGAAGTTTTGCCATTCATGGACAGTTTAAAATGTGTAAATAAAGTACACATAGTCTCCAAACATGAATTTCGAGAGAAACTGGTATGTTTCTTTGCATGGAATGTCTTGCCTTAAGAAAAGACAGAAGTAAAGCCACTCAGCCCGCTGTGGTTACATAGTTTTACTTATATAATTTGAGTAACTGGTATTTTTTTTACGTTATTCTCGCAACCTGTGTTTAAGCTGTTTAAAAGTCGTCCCGGTATAAGTTAAATAGACTCGTGTACATACCGAGAAAAGACTAAGAAGTTGGATATTTTAGTTTAGTTTTAACCGAAGTCGATAATGCACTTCAATTTTGTCAAAGTGGCAAGGTTCTTACTAATTGAATTACTTTTGGTAAAAATGAGAAAAACTATGGAAGGTTTTATCGTTCAAATGTAAAAAGTCGACCCCAACAGTCTCGTGTACAGATCGAGACAAGACAGAGAAGTCGAACATTTTAGTTTAAGGTTTAACTGGGGTCATGAATGTAAGAAACACATATGATATTTATATTAAGCGTGAATTACTTGAATTACTTTTGGTAAAAATGAGAGAAACCATTGAAATTTTTAACGGTCAAATGTAAAAATAGTCGACCCGACAAATCGGGACAAGACAGAAAAGTTGGACATTTTAATTTAAGATTTAACTGGGGTCACGAATGTAAGAAACACATAAGATTCTTATTTAGCTTGAGTTATTCTGCAGGAAAACCAATCCTCTGAATTAAATTATTTTATTGTACATAAGTAACATGGATAAAATGTTTAAACTGATTTATTTTGTTTTGAATATAATAACAGCAGAATTTCGGCAAACTAAAATGTCTCATTTTTTCGCTTTCGGACCTACTCGACTAACTTTGTAGTCCCCTTTATTCTCTGTTGGCGACGGCTGATCCTCCCTTCAATCCCCTTGAACCATATGACCCCCTAAAAATCCTCTGTTCCACCCTTGTCGGGTGATGAATAAAGAGCGTAGTCAGCTTTATATTCTATTGGCGACGGCTGGTCCTCCCTTCAATCCCCCTGAAAAAAACCTCTGTCCCACCCCTCCCAGACGATAATTAAGACTGTAGACCCCTTTATACTCTGTTGGCGACGACTGATCTCCCTTTCCCTCTTCATCTTCCCTGAAAACCGTGTGACTCACCAATAACAATATTTTCACTTCCTTTTTGGCTGAACCATTTTGAATGATTAATACGGTTTACATTGAAGCCTCCGGTTAAAATTGTTCCTGACTTTTCAAGGATTTCGAGGGCTTTTAGATCCTTCTTAAAACCCATTCGTGTGTTAGTTTACAAACCTACTCGTGACGGAAGCCGTTGTCTTTCGCGTGGCATTCTGGCTTTTATCTTATGTAAAACGGTTTTAGTGTCAGCGGAATGTACACATGGGATTCTGTTTGTCTGTCCAGTCCCTCTCGGTATAAAGTAAGCCAGGAGAATATCAACTAGATATCTCCTTGAGTAAGCCTAGGTGTATATGAATGGTTCGAGAAGAGATTGGGGTGACACAAGAACGAGACATTTGAGGAAAAGCTCGACTTTTTTGGAAAATGAAAAATTTAACTCTCCTCCCTCCTCCTTTCAGTCATTTAAGATGTTTAAGAGTGTCTCTGTAAGAGCGGTCCGGTCGATTTTGCTTGAGACACGGATTTCGCTCGTTTCTCGTGTGTTGTAAGACATTCATGTACCTATACTAAAACCACATTCAGTTTGATCGGATCTCTTTATTTTTCAGAGTTTCAAAGAAATTAAATTTCACTCGAGCGAAGGCTTGTCGTGACACTTTTCAAGATTTTAATTTCATACAATTTTGGAGGACAATTTACAAAAAAATACGGAACTCAGCGAAAAACAAATACCACAGCCTTGTATATTAACTCTATCTTATCTATCGAGGCGACTTTCGTAAACATCAACCAAGGAAACAGGGAGACTTCAATGGCACTTTATCGGTTCGCCTAAATCAAACATGCCAAAACCGATCAAATTCAAGGTAAATTTTTGAAAAAGTGAGGCGTTCTTAACTGATCCAACTAACATAGCTAGGAAGTAGGTGCCATAGAAAAGGTAACTACAGAAAAAAACTTTGCGGCCCGACCTTTACGAGAACTTTATAACTCCGTGAACTTACCTAATTTTCGGCAATCTTCAAGTTTGGCCGCCATTTTGAGGGACTTGTCAACATGAAGCGTAACCGATATAAATCAAGCAGGTAAATCTAAAACCGTCAGAAATACATACGAAAGCAATTCAAATGAGCTTTACTTTCAATTCAAGCGGCAAAATTTGAAATTGTTCGTTAAACTTACCATCCCCATGCGACCATTTATTCCAACAATTCAAACACTACAACTAGTGTTCAAATTCCCCTCGTCGATTCCACCGCAAGAAATAACCTGTGCCACCCAAGCTTCGACTCGAATGTGAAGTACGAATCAAATAACATAACTGCTTCATCTTCGCGGCAATATCACGCTGGTGTTTTGATTTTTTCGATCGACAAGAACGGTGCTTAAGAATCGATCGGTTTATTTACCTCATAAACGTGACCGCTGACCAGTTGCTGAGTGAAAACAGTAAGGTGCTGTGGCGAGGGGCGGGGTGAGGGGTGGGTGCGGGCAGATTATCAGAAAATTTTTGGGAACATTCGAACATGTGCATTCAAGTACCATGATAAACATTAGGACTCTCAGTTTTAATGCGAAGGCATCCTTCGTGTTGCAGACAACTTTTGTTTTACTTAGTATTCTTTTTTATTTCAAATACATTTCGTTCTAAATAGGACTAGCATCAATTCATAGATTTAAAAACAAATCTTTACCACGTAATTAAATGTGTTTAGATAATCGAGATAACCATTGAACCTCTTGTATCGCATCGGAAATAACGTGTCTTGTTTTTGCCCAACACTGTAAGCATGGAGCGGCAAACTTTAGTTCATCGTGTGGCTTAAGTGGTTTGGTACGACTGTCTTAATGCAATGACGAAGTAAAACATCATTTGACAAGCTACCACTTGTCTAAAGAGGCTTTTAAGTGAAAATGAGCTAATCTTGGCAAGGATGCCTATTTCACCTCGCTCAGGAGGATAAACAAAAAAATGTGAATTTGCTATTGGCATCGCCACACTTTTGGGAAGTTTTGGAGAAATGCAAAGGTAACATGTCAGTATCCTGATCATGATGGTGTCAGGAAGCGTATCCAAGGCAGAGATGTAATAACCTTGCATATGTCTCAGGACATTCAAAAGCTGTTTGGAGTTATTATTCCAGTTGAATCAGGTAGTCTTCAGTAACATTTTCTGTCATCTATTTTTGTCACGTGACATCTGCCCGAAAAGAGAAGAAATTCTTTATTAGATGAAGGGTACTTAAGTACACATCACGTTGAAAAAAAATAGATCTATGTGTAAGTACTTTTAATTGCAGATGGAAATATGTACAATGTTGCTTGGTTGATAATCAATAATGTTTTTGTAGAAGATCAAATCACCTGACAACGCAATATACTTACTCATGCGTACGGTTCACAATTATTTGCGGTCAGTTTTCCTCAGTTTGTATGATTCTCATTAACCAGTATGATTAAATTTGCAGACTAAAACACCCCTTATTTGATTAAGAATAATAAAAGTAAATAGTGCATGTCGGTTTTTAATTCCTGATGGATGCTACTGGGCTTTACTTTAACTGAGAAATTTGCAATCGCTTACCTCAGCTCTCTGTGTTCCATGCCGTAAGAAGCACAAGAAAAAAGTTGATGATAGTGAGTCTTGGCTGAGACAAGAAGAATCAGAGAAGAATCTACGGTCCCCAGAAACGCCACTTTTAAACACGAGACAACTAAGGTAAATTGAATTAAGTGCTATTTGTTTTATTTAAAACTATCGTTCAGATTATAAGATACGCGAATAACTCTCCCCACCGATTTTTTCTTACATTCTGTCAACCAAAAGTTTCAATAATTATAAAGGCTTTCTTGTTGATCGTCTTAATAGTAACAGTTTCAGGATCTAAGGGGAGCAAAAGAGAGAACAATTTTCTTTGTAGCTAGGTAAGGCGACATGCCGGCTTTATACTCCTTCCGGCGTGATAACGATAATGATGAAAACAGTGGGCAAAAAGCACCGTCCGCTAATGGTGACGATTATCATAGTTATAAACAAATCTCAGTTATAGTCCTGAAAAAAAGTCTCAGGGGGTCCTTTGAACCATCCACTTAATCTCGCCAGAAGTCAAAGTTGCCTACACCCATTCTCAGGTTCATGAAATTTTACGACGAATTTTCAATTCCGGTGTGTTGCACGCGCGACTGTTGATAGAAAAAACCTGCACGCGCCATAATTTAAAAGAACGTGTCAGCGGAATGAATCAAATCTCTATCACTTTGCATACATTCTTGGGAACAGCAAAAATTACTTAGGGCAAACATTCTAAGTATAGTGTTCATTCCGTGCAATGGGGCATAAATAAAAGGTTCTGGTGGAAAAGACGCCTTATTTTTGTACCACTGATGACAAGCAACAAGGTTATATGGTTACCCCGGTTAAAAAAATATTGATAACTCTATTAATTAATACCAGTTCTAATTTAAAGGAGAAAGTTATGAGAATGAAATAAAAGTTGTCTGTACCACGAAGCATGCCTTCACTGTTTATACTGATAGTCCTAGAGCTTTTTGAGCATGTATTCGAATATCTTATGACGATAAGCGCGCCACCCACCCCACCCCGCGCTATGCTGTTTTCACTTAGCAGCTGGTCAGCGGTCACGTTTATGAGGTAAACAAACCGATCGATTCTTGATCACCGTTCTTGTCGATCGGAAAATCAAAATGCCAGCGTGA